CCAGCAGGGGGTGACGTATACCTTACCCAAGTATTCCTTCATTATCTACAATTGCGAGACAGGCCCAGCAGTTTGACAGCGGCACTTTCCATAATCTTCTGTCAACATACTTCACCTCACATCCTGTCATTTCTGCCCCATCACCCCATGTTCTCATCGCCTCTGCCTACTCCCTCTTTACTTTACTGCACGGGCAAGTAAACCGATCCCTGCTCTCTCTCTTTTTTTTTTCTCTCTCTCTCTTCTGCATCAGCATATCCAGGCCTATTCTTAATGCTGTTGTCCAAACACCAACACCGCTTGCCTTGACCTATCTGTGCAGTTCTAATACCCCTCCATCTCTTCACCTCCAGCTTCTCTCTCTGCATTAAAACCCCATAGTGCTTTGCTGGCTGCGCTGTACACTGATGGAGACTGACTGTGGCCATTTGCTTTGTATTAGCAGGTTTATTTGCAGCTCCGGGTGAGGAAGAGGAGGAGGAGGAGGCCGGCTCTCCTGACCTCTCTGAATCATCCCTGGATCAAGTGTTGAGTGGCTATCTGCGCTTCTATCTGGCTCGCGCAGGCCACATTAATGCTGATTAGAGGAGTGAAGAGCACAGACATCAGTGCAGACACTCCTCCTTTTGAATAAATATTGGTGTGGGCCAGACTACAGGATGCTTCTAATCACTTGTGCAGGTGAGTTGGTTAATACTTTTTATACTGTGATTCTGGTACTGTTTGTGTTGGCGGATTGGTGTGTAAAGTATGTAGGTGTATTTTGACAATAACTTCTGTATGCCCTTCATGTTACTTTGTCCAAAACATACTGTACCTAGAGCTGTGTTTTATTTCATTCACACATGTTTGAGTAATTGTCTAATTATGCTGTGCCCTTGGAAGCTCAAAATGCATCTAAGCCCGTGCAAAATGCTTAAAGAACACATTTTCTTGTATTTATAAATAAACAATGATGTATATAGATCCTTATTTTACATTTTCTTCCTGCTATGTTGAGTTTTATTGGTTTTCTGTTCAAAACTGCAGAACTGAGAGTGGCATTTCACTGTACCAACTTTTTATTTATGTGCTTTTATTGTTAAAAATGACTACGAGACATTTTCATCTATAACTTTGGAATGGGTGGGGATAGGGGGTAGGTGAAAACTGACATTTTCTGACCACTCCAATGCCCCAGATGCAGGACAATATAGGATTACGCAAAGATGCATGAATCAATGGAAATGCAACTTTGAATGTGATAATGATGAGGGAACACTGTTATCACATGATTAAATTAAAACTTCTTAAAGTCAAATTTACATAATATGTCACTTTTAACTGTGGTGTTTTCAAAAAGTAGAACCAGATTACTGAAAGAGCGGATATTTTACTTTTATGGGGTATTAACTGCTAACACATAACTTATTTATATCACCTTGTCACCTTTTATTTTTTGAAAGTGCAAAATTTGCCCAAAACACCATATTGACATGTTTTTTAAGTTTCAAACATCCCTCCTCATTTACAGCATTGTCACATTAAGATCTGCATGTTTTCTGCTCATAAAAGTACTGCACATCGTATCAGTTTAAGCTGTAGTGTACAGTTTTGTATCATAATTTTTGTATGTTTACGGAGAATTGTCGCGTGGGAGCAGTAATAACATAGGTTTGTGGACAGAGCATTGGCCAAAATATTACTGCTAACCATAAGGAGTGTTTGAATAGGGCCGGGAGAGATCACTACATTACTCAAACATGCCTGGATGACATATAAAGCCACTTTAGGCATGTTTTTGATGAGGGAACAACACTATAACATGTTAGAGCTGACTTGGGAATTGTCCAGCTCCCAGGCCACATACAGCCCTATGATTGACTCTGACCATCTCGTTTAAGCTCATTTGGAATTACAAAATAAATGTATTTTATCATTTTACCTCATGCATAGGTTAAAGCTGCATTTCTTTTTTTTAGAGGTGTTTTTTAAATGACTTTTTTTGTAAGGCAAATTCACTTTTTCATTACTTAGTCATAACATCTTTTACTCTTAGCAGCTTGTCAAAACAATGCTATTTACTGTTTTTTTAATAAAGAAATACAATTAATATTATGCAGAATTGAGTTAAGCATTTAGGCCTGGCCCTCCACAATATTTTCTGTTTCTCCTGTGGCCCCATGAAAAAAAAAAAAGTTGTCCATGCCTGTGTTATAGAGTTGATTTTGCATAATACCCCCTCTTTAATAGCTTTTTAGATACATTATTGTGAAACTTAGACAAACTTTATTGATCCATAAGGGAAATTATTTGGTCATAGTAGCTCACACATCACAGTATATTATAATAACAAGGCTCAACAACATAATAAGTTCAAGATAAGTGGCAAAAATAGCACAAGAGACTGGTGTCAGCAAGGAATAATTATATAAATGTGTCCAAACTTACAGGTTAAAAGCCATTGTGCCTGGTAGTTTTAACATAGTATTAGAAACTGTCATGGTGCTTTTCACTCTGTCCCTATGAAATGAGCCTAATTGTTCCACTATCAACACAGGATGCTGCATAAGAGGCCCATCTGTCCTGACAAATGATAAACAGAGTGACGAGTGCTTACATAATGTCATCAATGGTAATGGTGCCTGGAGGTGTCAATAAACCTAATGTGTCTGGATAGAAGGAGGTGATTTGAAGTGATAATACAGCAGTTATGACTAAACAGCTATAGGATGTTGTGTTTTTTGTAAGAAATATCCACAAAATCCACAAATGTCGGACCTGTTTGTTTATATTATGCGCATGGTTCATTATCCGTCTTCTGGATCATTCTGTGTCTAATCATAACACAAAATCTGCTCATTAACATTAGTCATTTTGTCAGCACCATCTCAAACACAGGCCTGTAATTGTTCTACTAAAAAAAACACTGAAAGAAATTAACAGAACCGTGTGTAAGATTTAGAGAAGAGCATTTAAATTCCATAAACATGACCTGTTCCCACGCAAGACAGACACAATATTTATACTTTGCAGCGGAAGTCATCTACATTCCCTGGGGGTGTGATGCTAATTGTAGGCACTGCTTTGTATGAGGCTTTGTTAGACTTTAATATGAGCTTTTTTTTAAATGTAGTGTGTCCAGAAAGAATTGACTTAGTTGGTGTTTGTGCTGTTAAACCCCTCTCAAATAATATTACAGTCAGTGTTTGGAGTAATACATTATAAAAGTAACAAATTACTGTAATGCATTGCTTTTAGCTGTAACTCAGTAATGTAAGGCAGTACAGGGGAAAAAAAAGAGAATATTTTACTCTGTACAATATCAGTAACGCAATGCATTTTTAACCTGGATTGAAGTGGTGGGTTTTTCGTTTTTCGTTATACAAATTTGCTAAAATCACAGTGATATCAGCAGTGGTGAAACGCCATCGTTATGGTTCAGAATGTCGGGACAGGCCCAGAGGTGCGCCCGTGTAGACCTTTGGATAAGCGCGGGTGAAAGGACCAGCGCAGAGCTCCACGCTCCACAGGGCTAAAGTAACCGACGCTCGATCGCTGTTTGCAGATACCCTGCTCAATGAGCTCGGGGTTCTCTCAGGGGTGGTCCTAGATTCCAAGACCTAGTCCAAGATTAGTCCTGGTTTAGTCCTGGTTTAGACCTGGTTCAGTCCTGGTTCAACTCTGGTTTAGTCCTGGTTTAGTCCTGCTTCAGTCCTCCTGGTTCAGTCCTCAGTTCAGTTTTTGGTTTAGACCTGGTTCAGTTCTGGTTTGGTTCTAGTTCAGTCCTGGTTTAGTCCTGGTTCAGTCCATATAGAGCGCAAAGGTCTGGCATCTTCGCAGAGTTATTTTGGTGAGAATAACTTAAAAGTGCTGTAATAGTCATGTGATGTTTTACATTTTAAACACAGTAATATTGTAATGTAACGAATTACTTTGAAATTACAGTAACAAGTCATAAAAAATAGCACATTATAGTTTTGAAGTAACTTGTCCAACAGTGATTACAGTCACTCACGTTTTTTTGTTGAACAGGTTCCTGAAAATGTGTTCATTTGTATTTTTATCTTGAGTTTTTTACTGTTTCCTTTGCTAATGTTTGCATTGTGTCTCCGCTAATACGCATGCATGTGTATTGCATGATGTCATTGCAAATATATCGATACTATATCGATATTGTATCACCAAATTTAGTATCAATATTCAGATTTTTTTGCACACCCCTGCTTTTAACCATGCAACATAAAAACACCAGACTTTCTTTGTATAAAAAGCTCACATTTATCAACAGTTGTCAGCGAGATTTAATTTGTGCACTTGTCAATACAGGAATGTGTTCATTTGTTTTGGGAATGACTTTTTCATAGAATCAAATGTAAACAAATGGACCATAATATGAAACATGCTCACACAGCATTTCCTGCTTTGCTTATTGGTGCACATTCCCTATGCGCTGCTCATTTATAAATTATCACCCCTCCAAGATCTCACTCTTATGTATTACCATATGAATGCAAATTAGAGCAGTCAAATCACATTCAAACCTGCCTCCCCTATTCTCTATTCTATCCTTTGATGCTATGTTTAGTCTGGGCCTGGCTCTTTCCTCATTACCCCAGCGTGGCAATTTCCCTTTTAAAGCCGAAGACACCGTGTGCTACATACAAGTGGGCGGTGCTTCGGCGACTGCCCCGCTCCCTGATTGGCCTGCGGCGCTGCCACTCAGGCTGCCCACACTCTCTGACTTCCTCTGTCCTCCTTTCCTGGTGCAGCCGGGAGGAAGAGGAGGAGGAGGGAGGGAATGGATCTTAGCTGTGTGTTGAGCCGAAGCTTCTCCTCTCCAGCCTGCCTCTCACCTCGCCACCTGTGCTTTGCTTTCCACAGAGACGAAGAACCGGGATCTGCCTCCGACAAAGCTACTCCACGACTACCATTGTTCCAGAAGTGAGAGGAGAGGAGCGCGCGCGTGAGGGGAGGGGGGTGCCGATGGGAGCCAGTGCTTTGGCGGGGGACAGAGGGTGATGCTGAGCGGGGGGCGGGAGGGGTTGTTTGAGCTGGGACGGAGGCTCCAGCGGCAGGGGGAGTACCAGGCTGCCCTCCACTGCTTCCTCAGCTGCCTGCTCGGACTCACCCATGTGCAGAGCTTCAACTCGCTGCCCAACTGCCTCCACCAGGTGAGAGACGCAGCCGGACCACAGACAAGACAAATGTAACAAATGTTCACTTAAAGGACCCATATTTTACACTGCTTTCTGGTCTTTGTTATGTATAATGTTGTTTACTCATGGAAAACATACTTGTGTTTTTTTTCATTCATTCATGTTTATCACACAAACCCTTGCATATTTAGGCTGAGTTCTTCTCTCAACACTTTGGTCCACCTTGTGATGTCATGTGGTAATACAGGAAGTGCTCCACTGTGTTTTTAAACTCCACACACCTTCACTAGAATCATTCAGAACAGACCATTTTTCAGCTTTGGGGATGTACACAGACTAATAATAAAGGTTTACTCAAACATGTGCGAATGGAACAAAACTCCAGGTCTGTTTTTGATGAGATAACATTATTATGACGTTAAAAAAGCTCACAAGAGGCAATGTTGCGTAATGCAGGACCTTTAAAATGGCCAGAAATGTCATTGGTGGTTCGTGTGATTCAAATGGGGCTGTGCATGCGGCTTGCCCCAATGTCAAGTTAAGTAGGCCAATCCATCACATGTTGACACTAGCCATTCTTTCCCAGTGGGGGTGTAGTAAATAGAGCACAACATGTTCACTGCAAAAAATGTAAAAAAAAAAAAAAAAATCTGAAAAAAGTTCAGAATGGGGTATTGTCCTGCCGTCATTATGTGGGCAATTTGCTCACACATTTTCCTTGTGAGCCATGTTAGAATGTTGTTACCTCCTCAAAAACATACCCTAGTTGTATTTTGTTTCATTCACACATGTTTGAGTAAGTCTTTATCATTAGTCTATCCACATCTCTATAACCCAGAATGCTCTGTTCCACCTTGTGATGTCATGAAGCGGTCATTTTCAAGTTATCATCTAGCTTTAATTCTTTGTTCAGTAAAGATGGCAATTCCAGGGCTGAAATCATCCAAATTATTCCAGTGAAGGTGTAAGGATCTTAAAAACACAGTGGAGCACTTCCTGTAGTCCCATGTGACATCACAAGGTGTTTTCTCTTTGAGCAAAGAACTCAGCCTAAATATGCAGGGTTTGTGTGTGAATTAAACAAAACACGACTCCAAGTATGGAGCAAGAAACAGCATTATAATAGATCAAAAAATAGTGTAATATAGTCCTTTTATAATAAGACTTATAAGGAAACACATCAAAAAAGTCAATTTAATTAACCAAAATAAGTGAATCCAACTCAAGCATACAGAATGTAATCATTAAGTTTCATTTTTTGCAGTGTTGTTTCCGCTAATAGAAAGTGTCTTTTCCCTTTGTGTATAGCGACAGAATGGTTAGCTCATATCTAGGTCACTGTGTATATACGTCTCGGAAATGCATGATCCGGTCGATGCAGATGATATTAAAGTTTAAAAGACCTCTACTTCAGTTTGACACCGGATTCGTTTCTTGCTGGAAACTCTTGAAAGTCAAAACAATGTGGAGTGATGTTCTCCAGACCAGTGGAAATGCTAGGAGAGGTAGCTATTTGTTTTGAGTGCTAGTGTACAACAACTGGAGATCTACAACTCGTCCTAGTAAACTTAAGACTAGTTCAGTAGCAGAGCCGAGAATTCATTACAATCACTGTTTATTATGAAGTACAATCTATCGAAAACAAAAGCATAACAACTACATTATGTATTTTAAACTAATCTAACTTAAAGGGCCCATATTACGCTATTTTCAAGTCTTTGTTATTATGTTTCCTCATCAAAAACAGAATTGTGTTTTGTTTCATTCACACATATTTAACACACAAACCCTGCACATTTAGGTCGAGTTCTTCTCTCAAATGCTGTGTTCCACCTTGTGATGTCATGTTGTAATACAGGAAGTGCACCACTGTGATTTTAAACTCCAAACACCTCCACTGGGATAATTTGGATAATTTCAGACCAGAATTGCTAATCTCTCCTAAACCAAAGGTAAAAGGGAGCTATTAACTTGAAAACTACCTCTTCGTGACATCACAAGGTGTAACAGAGCATTTTGACCTTTGGAGATGTAAGACAGAGTCCTGCACAGGTCCATTTTTGTAGACCCACACCCGTCCGTTAACCCGTGATTATATCGAAGTTAAATCCACATCCTGCCCGGACCTGTTAACATTAAACTTGTTACCCGCCCGTGTCTGTGATAAATTGGTTTCAGCCCATTAGTCCAACAGTCCAATAGTCCAGGACTAAACCAGGACTGAACCAGGACTAAACCAGGTCTGAACCTACGCCGTGTCATTAGCGGATTATAAATATATGCACGCCGCAAACAGCAAAGCCAGTCGCCAGGACTAAACAAGGACTGAACCAGGACTAAACCAGGACTAAACCAGGACTACACCAGGACTACACCAGCACTGTACCAAGACTGAACCAGGACTAAACCAGGACTACACCAGCACTGAACCAGAACTGAACCAGGACTAAACCAGAACTAAACCAGGACTAAACCATTTATGTAATAAAAACACTAAAGTCACTCTCTCAGCCTGGTCTGCCATCGTTTCAGGAAAAGACCGGTTGGGTACCCGCAATTAAGATGAATAATAATTGATTAATAATAACGGATTACTCAAACATGCATGAATGAAACAAAACACATATTTTTTGATGAGATGGCAACATTATAACATGGCTTAGAGCTCACAAGAGTAGATTTAGCGTAAAATAACTACACTTTAACTACACTTTAACTACACAACTAGGGCAAGCCAGTACTGAGATTATCCAATTTACCACAATTTAAATGTCATTTATTTGTGGTGACAGATGCTCAATGTAAGTAAGTAGTCTTAAAACAGTATTGGTATGTCCTTGAGTGAAAGAGACCCACTTTACCTGATCTAATTCTGCTTAACTCACTTAACTTATTTGAAGTACCAAGTTAAAACAGTGAGAGAATTTGACTTGGGCTTTATATAGAAATGCATCCTTCCGTTCAATGACCCACTCTCGTCCTGACTCCCAAAATAAAAAGAGATGATGTCATAGTTTATATACTTAAACTTGCTTTTTTTGTGCTTTACAGATTGCGGAGCTCTTCATCACTGAAAAGAACTGTATCCTTTACAAACGCAAATTAAAATGGCCCTTACACGCCATTGTGCTCGTTAGCATAGCCGGTAACCCTCTAACCCTCTACCCTGGTTGTAAACGCTTGTATCTGGAGGCTGCTTTGGATGGCTAATTCCAACACAAAGCCTTATTCAGCTCTTTCACAGAAGCCGGCGTAAATGAGGGAGTCGAAGCCTTTTGGGGGGGAGCGGCTTCATAAAAACTCATTGTCCCAGAATGCCGTGCGGGTTTGTGTCACTTGGCCCCGGCTCGGCGTGTATCTGTTAAGAGGATTTGTAGGCTCTTATCTCGGGACAGCAGACCCGCTAATTAACCTGTCCATGGACCAGCGCATACAAACTAAACTATGACACTGTAGAACATGCATGGGGGAGAATAGGCGGGGTTGGGTTTCAGGATATGTTACCCGGCTGTTATCGAGACAGTACCAACACTTCGGCGCACGGCTCAGGTTCAAACAGCCAGTCATTTTCCAACACAGCATCTTTGTCCGATAACTATCAGCAAGATCGCGCTGAATGAAAAGGATGCTGCATAAGAGGCCCATCTGTCCTGACAAATGATAAACAGAGTGACGAGGGCTTACATAATGTCATCAATAGTAATGGTGCCTGGAGGTGTCAATAAACCTAATGTGGTTGTATAGAAAGAGGTGATTTTGAAGTGATAATACAGCGTGACTAAACAGCTATAGGAATAAGAAATACACATGAAAGCCACAAATGTTGAACCAGATAGTTTATATGATTGATAAGGTCCATTATGGAGTAAGAGTAACGTTAACTCAAATTATTTAAGTGGAAGTACAAAGTAGTGGTCCAAGAAATTGTGAGTAAAAAAGTATTTGGGGGAACTACTGCTTAACTTAAAGACTTAACATCTGATTTATAATTTGAAGTTAATGTAATTTGAAGGACAAAACATTAAATGTTGGTCAAAATCTGGTGTTTTCACAGGACAAACAAAAATGGGACAAACTAAATCATATTTGAAGGAGCAAAGTTCGAATTATTTCATATTGTCACCATAAAATTCATTTGTAGACTTACAGTGGGAAGAGTAATCAAAACCTTAACTCAAGTAAGAGTACTGTGACTGAAATTTAAAAAAAATATATATTACTCACGTAGGAGTAAAACTATGCTGCTAGAAAAGTACAGTTTCTTTAAAAAGTTACTCAAGTACTGTTAAATGTAACTGAGTACTACCCACCTCTGCTAATTATCACACAAACTCTGCAAATTAACACTAGCGATTTAGACACCGTCATTTTAAGAACGATGTTATGTCAGGTTTGTTAAGTTTGCACATTGCATATTGAAAATAAAAGTTATCATCTGAATCTATGGAATAAATGCATTTAGGAAAGTTGTTTAGTTTATAAAAGCAGACATTGATGACAGAAGGTGAAGGGGCATTTTCTAATCTACAAATCTATTGCAAAGGAAAGTATGGGTCGACTCTAACCTAAAAAGTCCAAAGTCTAACCTATAAAAGTCCACAATGAATGAAAAATAATTGATTCAATGATTACACATTACCCAAAAACTTTAAGTGGGACTAAACACACACAAACTCCACCCATGAACAAATTTTAATCACTTATTTACAAAACGCCATTTTGCCGATCAGTCCCCATTGTCCACAGCTCTCTACTTACTCCAATTTTATTTTCTTAATCAGTCATACATGTAGAATTCGGCAGCGTAGTCATTTTGGTACAAATTAAAAAAAAAACACTACTCATCCGAATCTTTGTTGCGATGATGTTTACGGCGACATCAGCTCCCATTGGGCACTGCAGTTTTCTAATGCGGAAATCAGCGTTCTTGTTTCTTTTACGAAGTCGTTTTAGAAGAATATTGTGACTTAAAATGACTTATAACATAATAATCCAGGGGTCATAGATTATAACTTTATGGCAACCCTAAGCACAATATGTGTTCTTTAAATAAAATAATTACTTCTAATACGAGCTAATGATCTGTGTTTTGCATGTGTGTGTGATGAACTCTCTGGTATATTTCTCACGTGGCTTTTTAATTGCAGTCTATAGTTCACCTGCTGTCAATCCATTCTCACTCTTCAATGTAAAGCTAAATTTAGTCAGTCAACAGAGGTGTGCAATGTTGACAGTGAGTGCATGAGAGGAGGAGCCTTATGTAATGTCTGTTAGCTCTGCCATCACCTGTCTGGGATGCACCCACCTCACGCCCGAGACATCCCAGGACAACATGACTGCAGGGGAGACTTTGAACTGTTTACCAACTGTAGTACCAAGAAGTACATCGCATTTCTCGCAGTTCAGATAAGTCCACACGTTGACATGGCATTTTAAAGCTTACTTTAAAGTGGACTGTGTAACTTTTATGGCCCACTAACTGCTTCTTGTGTACATTGAAGTGTTATTGGTTTGCCTTGTATATTCCAGTGTATATGTTTAAGTATCACCATGGAAACAAGTGGCTGACTCTATCCAGCGAAGTTTCAGGTTAGGTCTGCGGAGAGGTTACCCCATTCACAGTACAAGTGCAGGTATTTCAAGTATTGAGCAATGTAGACAAGTCATAACTATGTGCTTATTTCCATCTGGACAGAAGTTTAATGCCGTATTATAGGACATTCTAGGCCAAGCAATAACAGCTCTGTGTAAGTATAGTTGATGGAAAAGTTACACATTGCACCTTTAAACACAACATGGTAGTTTCTTTTATATTACCATGTGGCCTTATATCTGTGTAATCCCTCAGTGGTCCATGTAGATTCCATAGTGGTCCATGGGCGTGTACTATAGTCTACGTGCTCTTATACATGTTCTGATACAGCGCAAGGTCGTTCTAAAGCTTTTCAGGAGAGGAAGGTTAATTTATGTCATGTGAATGTGACTGTCTTTGTATCAGTATTTGTTCAAATGAGTATCAAGTTTCCATACTAGTTTTAATATCAAATAATATCCTAGATACAAGCAGTTAGCAGATTGCTTATAGTACTCTTATATGAGTAATAAAAGTTTTGGTTACTGTTCCCACTCTGAATAAGACTACAGGTGACAAAAGCTTTATGTTGACAATATGAAATGTTTTAAACATTTGTGTTTCTTGTACCACAGGACTGGACCCTTTAGCACAGGGGAGTCCAACTCAGATTCACAGAGGGCCTAAATTAAAACCTGGGACTATCGTAAGTCATGGGCCAACCTAAACTTTTTTGGAGATATGTAATGTTAAACCTTTTCTTATTGAAATAAATGTTTAATAATAGTTTTGTTTAAACATTGAATACAGAACAAGCATAATATAAAAATAATAACAACATTTTAAATAAATCATGTCTCTATAGTCTATCTGTAGCCTTCAAGCCAGCTCTAATACATATTTGATATGATTTTGTGATCCAAATATAACTATATCGTGGGCCAAATTTGGCCCCCGGGCCTGAGTTTGACATTTCTGCCTTAGCAGAAAGCAAAAACTGACACAAATAAGTAACAACATGTAGTTTAAAAGTGATGTTACAATATAGTGAGTTTGTGGATGCAATTCTTTTTTTTTTCATACAGACCTTAAAAAATGTTTCTTAAAAGTGCACTGCTTAACTTTTCTGGTGGAGGGTTCGCTACCTGCTTGTTTCCATGAAGATGTTTTTGCTTTGTCAAGAATGTTCCACAGTGTGATGAAGAGGTGCCTCTATTCACAGAAGGAAAGACTGTGTTTTAGAGCAATAGAAACACTCATAATGAATAAATGCTCTATGGACATGTTTAGGTAGAGGAGCCTCCAGCAGGAAAGTTAAGCAGTGCACCCTTAATTATGATTTTATTTTTTTTTTAAATCACATGATGTACGAGTTATGATTCATAGACTACACCGTGCCTTCAAACAACTTAAGATTATTTTGTGCGTTCTTCCTTACACCACAATCTGTTTCTGAAATCACAGTTCTCACAAGCATTTTCATCATGCGCATCAACCACATCCGTCCTCAGGGGATCTGGGTCGTAGGTCACAGTTAAAGTAGGTCACGGATCTTATGGTAAACACTGCGCTTTACCCTTTCGCCTGCATATTTGTTGTATATTTTCTATTTCCATACTGCGTCCTGGCCCAGATCCAGATAAGTGCATGTGCTGCAGATAGAGGGGCCTGGATGTTTAAGGCCTGGGGTGGTGTTATCAGAGTTGGCAGCTTTATACTGACCTTTGGGGCCACTCACAGTCTGAGAGCTCGATGATAGGCTTCTAAGAACATAGGGAACATTGTGATTTTGTCACTTTGATTGTGGATGAAATACAGACCGCGTGTTTGCGCTGGATACGTTTTACAATTGCTTGTTCTGCTTTTTGTGTTTGGCTCTTAGATAGACTCCCAGGATCAAACAAAAGCGTTAGGTAATTCCAATATCCAATAATGTGTGGGGTATTTCCAATTTATTTTGACTGGTCATCTGGCCTACTGCTGTAGCTGATAAGCATTACTTCCCGATACCGATATTTCCCATTTAAAATCCAGAGCTAGGTCCACAAATTTTACTTTAAGTCACAATAACAAATAAACTTTTCACTTTTGTAAAAAAAAAAAAAGACAAAATGTATTTTAGTGGGACATAAAAGCATTTGTTTGAGTAAAAACAGCCACATAATGCTTTTCTTTTTCCATTTTGACTCATTAGTCTCTTGCAGCATGAAAAAATACCAGTATAGAATATCGGTACTGAGAATCATTATCAGCTGATACCGATTCTGGCACCGATTTAAAGCCCATCCCTATTTCCATTATTTTATTTGCACAACAAATGATTCTTTTGATGTCCTGACTTTTTGACATGGTTCGAGAGAGCAACTCCAGTCCCCTTAGGTTGTCCTGCCCCTGAAGTTGAGAAACAGTGTATTAGAAAACAATTTGTAAGTTATGAAAAATCAAACAAGCTAAAATTAAAATCAGATGGAAACATTGCTTGTCTCCATGGAGATGTTATGACAGTAACTTTATGTAACTATCTCTAATACATTTACATAATTACACATGTTTTTATTGCTCTAAAATACCTTGAGGGGTCGTCTCTCCACAGATTTGACCTGTAACTTGACAGTGCCATCTGCTTATTTCCATGTGGACAGAAGTTTAATGCCATACTCTAGGACAGGGGTGTCAAACAGCGGGCCAAAAATAAAAAACTGTGACTAAGTCGGCCAAACTAAATATGTATTGACAAATTTCAACAACATCTGCATGTTTTCTCTTCTTTCGAGATATGTAATGTTAAACCTTTTCTTATTAAAATAAATGTTTAATAATAGTTTTGCTTAAACATTGAATCAAGAACAAGCATAATATAAGATAATAACAGAATTTTAAGTAAATAATGTCTTATAACATCTCTATATAGGCAAGTGTAGTCTTTAAACACATATTAACACATATAGATTTTAAAGTTCTTTTATTAGTTTATAAAGCTCTTAATGGTCTTAGTCCTATTTATTTATCTGATCTGCTTTTATCATATGAGCCCTCTCGGACTCTCAGGTCCTCAGGTAGTCTTCTTTTAACTGTCCCAAGAGTCCAGCTAAAACTCACGGTGAGGCGTCATTCAGCTTTTACAACCCCCGTTTGTGGAACAGTCTACCTGAGGATCTGAGGTCCGCTGCGAGTGTTCATATTTTTAAAAGTAAACTCAAAACGTATCTTTTTAATTTAGCTTTTAATTGAAACTTTTATCCGTTTTAACTTAAATTATTATTATTATTATAATAATAATTATTATTATTATATTTATTTATTTTAAATTAAATGATCATTACTGTTTTACTTTGTCTCCATTTGATTTTAGCTCTCCATTTTGATTTTTATGATAACCTTTAGGAGTTTTATGTTTTAGTTTTTATGTTTATGTTTAAATGGTTGTATATATGGATGAAACAATGGGATGGGGTGGGGGGTTGCTCTTGATTTTAATTATTGTATTGTAATTTTTCTGTTGCATGTGAAGCACTTTGTGCTACATTTCAAATGTATGAAAAGTGCTATACAAATAAAGTTTGATTGATTGATTGATTGATTAAATCATAGTAGTTTCTTTTGCATTACCCATTATGTCACCCCTCAGTGGTCCAGGTAGGTTCCATAGTGGTCTGTGGGCATATACTATAGTCTACGTGCTCTTATACATTTCTGATATAGCCCAAGGTCATTCTAAAGCGATTCAGGAGTGGAAAATTCACTTCTGTCCTGTGAATGTGACTGTCTTAGTATCGATACTTGTTCAAATGAGTATCTAATTTCCATACTTGTTTTAGTATCGAGTAGTATCTGATTTTCTAAACCTTTTAAAGTATTTAAAAGGTTTCTAAAGGTTTTTTATAGTGATTTTGGCATAAAATCATGCTCATTGTGCATCCCTTCCATATACAATAATGTGAGTCTTTAAGTCTTACTGCGTTCCCTTGGGGTTACTTGAGAGCGTGCTGTACATGTGTGCTCATGTATGGCCTGACTGTGAGAGATCCAGTTGCAGTGCGGCAGGATGTGGCATGTTTAGGTCAGGTGCCTTCCCCTGAGAGCGTGCTGAGGTGTGCGCGCTGGTGTTGTTGTGGTGAGGTGTAAAAATAACCCAGGATACAAGTGGAGCCCTGACCTGTGGCTGAGCAGTGCCCCTAATCCCCCTCCTCCAACCCCCTGTGCATCCTCTCCATATGTTCACACTGGATTCTGTAGACACTCATACGCAAGTTTAATAACATGTTTTTATTTTTCCTCCGTATAAATACCAGAGGAGTGTTCAGAAAATGTAACTTAAAGGCACTGCACCTAATTTTTACTGTTGTAAAACATGTGAAAAACAAGTTGCATTTTAAATATTTTGCTGTAGTTTTTTTCACTTATACAATGATTCACCACAATGAGTTTATAAGCACTTAGACCAGGGGTGTCCAAACTTAGCCTGATTAATCAGACAGTTTCAATTCATGGAAACCCTCTGACCTCGCAATATTAGGATTCATGAGAGAGAAATGAAAATTTAGCGGAGGCACTAGGTGGCGTCAGCCTGGCTAGTCCAAAGTATGGCTCAGGGGCCAAAAACTGACATGATTTTTTTTACCCTTAGACCTCCTGGTGAATTGGCCCAAATGATTATAGGCAGTGTTTTCTACTGGGCATTGAAGTGTTTCTACAAATATAATGTCAATAACATTACACTGTATTGTGTGTACAGGCCTAAAATGAGTGTTCCAAGCCAAGCAAAAAAGTTTGGACACCCTTGACTTAGGTTGTATGTAAAATCCCTCAGTGGTCCAGGTAGAATCCATGGCGAAGTTCTGAACTGAAGAAGCGGCTTGGATGAGCTGCAAAACATATTTGACCAAAAACTTTTATCCAGCTGACAAATTGAATTTCTCCTTTGCCACCCCAGACTTAGGGTTAAAAAAAAAGTTAACAGCAACTAGCATGCTAACACAAACTTGATTATGGGACAATAAAACACTTCATAATTAGATGCAAACAGCACGGGAGATATTTTTACTTAAATTATATATTGTGTTTGATGAATATTACATGTACAGAGCAGAATAGAGACCATCACTGTAGATGCAGACAGTACACAGTGGACTTTTGAGCCTCAAATGCTGCTTAAACATTATATAATACATTATATTCAACCAAGACACATTTTACCCAAATACAAAAATCAGGTGCAGGCCCTTTTATGTATTCTGTCACCCTGGGTTGCATGCTCCCTAATCTTACACAGCCCTATGCTCGTCCCACCATGTAAAATGTGTCACTGAGTATTTCCTAGAAACTTCTCCACTTCTGTATCTAAATAATTCACGTGGCTTAAAGCTTTTATCCTTCACACTTTCTAACTCTATTGTCTATTGGCTCTATCGCCTCTCTACTGTAGTCCCACTTCTCAGTATATCTGGACTTTCCTTGAAGAATATTCTATCAGTGACAAAGAAAAACAAACCAGCTGCTCTTTTTCCACTACTGTCCGCCCTGCTAAGTATATACTAAGTACATGTACTATTCTGGCTTTGTGTGTTATCAGTGGTGGAACAAGTACTTACAGTTTTTTTTTGTTTTTTTTTAATAAAAGTACAGATAGTGGAGCAAAAACACATAATACATAAAAAATCTACTTAAGCAAAAGTAGTAAAGTAAATTTTTAAAATCTTTAAAAAGTTAAGTTTAATTACAAATAGACTTTGAGAGTAAAAAGTTAAAGTATTTCATTCAGATTTTTAGGCCTATTAAAGCTTCAAATTTATCAGTTTTGAAAATGTGTGCTGAATTTTGTTCAATAGAAACAACTGTCTTTTTTTTCTAGCAGTTTTTATTTGTTTTTGTTCATATTATCAATGCATTAAAAACCCCTCAGCGGGTCTCAAACAATAATAAAAAGTACTTTTACTTTTCAGGCCACATAAAAAATTTAGGGGAGTAGAAAGTACAGATACATACTCTTGAATGTAGTGAAAAAGTAAAAAGTATCCATTTTGAAATGTATTTAAAGGTGCACTGTGTAACCTTTTGGTGGGAGGTCTGTCACCTGATTTTTTTCTATGGAGATGTCATTGCTCTGCCTGGAATGTTCCACAGTGTGACATTAAACAGCTCTACTTCACATTTATTCAGTTACAGGTGGTTTTATTGCTCAAAAATACCCAGAAAAATAGGCATTCTGATCACTGATCTAACCTTTACCTTGGTCTCGTTTGGTCTCGATGAAGATGGAAAGGTTTAATGCCATATTATGAAACATTCCAGACAAAGCAATAGCATCTCCATGGAGAAAAGCATTTGTATACAGCATACAGGAAGTACTCCACTATGTTTTTAAACTCCATATACCTTCATTAGAATTGCAGATCTCTACTGAACAAAAGGTAAAAAATATCTGACATCACAAGGTGGGACAGAGCATTTTGAGCTTTGGAGATGCAGACAGCTTGATAATGCGAAGGTTACTCAAACATTGTGAATGAAACAAAACATAACTCGAGCTTTGTAACATAATTAAAAGCTCAAAAGTGTAGATTTTGCGCAGTATAGGAAAAGTACTTTAATACTTTTACTTTGTTCCATTCCACCACTGTGTATTATTAGCATGTATTTGTCCATAGGGATGAGGGACGCTAAGTAGGACATTTGGACAGGCGTGCGTGTATTTTAAGCAAGCCTTTTTTTCTATTCACCTGACAGGCTTCAATGGTGTCAGTTTACGGCCACTTTCACCGCACAATGCTCTGGGATCCTGGTATTTTTAGGCTGCTTTTAATAGACCCCCTTTTCATCACAACAACGCTGGTATTTAGAGCGGTTCAAAACACAGTAACATAACATAACATAGGATAACATACGCTGCTAATCCTGTTTTGACCAAATCTCGTGTAATCGGGGGTCATTGCGACAGGGATTATAGCGTGCTTTGTTTACTCGTGTGACGTAGACGCAGGATGTTTTGAATATGGGGGGGCCTGGGGGTTTTTTGAAGGGGGATATCGTACACTGTTGTTGGACCTTAACCCTTATAAACAGATGGGAAGGCGCTCCAGTTCATTCAAGCTGAGAAGATGTTCTACGAAGTGGCGCTGATAGAACTGACCGCTCTCCAAAGGGACACTGGTGAGTACGTGTGTGTTTGCATGCTTCGTGAGGCCATTGACTTCCATACATTTCCTATAGAGACTGACCCTTTGACCAGAATGAATATTTGGCAAAGTGTAACCTAAAGTTTAAAGATTTTTGTGTTATGACGATGATAAGAAGTTGGTGATACGATAAATACTTTGATATATAGGTCACGATATGATACATTTTACGATACAGTGTACTTTAAATTCAATACAATATATTTCAATATTTCGATACAGTTCAGTGAAAAACAAAGGTTAAATCATGACTGTGATACTAAAAGTCTACTAAGTCCACTGAGTTTGTGCAAAGTTAATATGAAAAACACCAATTTTACTCATCAAAACAGTGAAAATGTCAGCACAATTGTAGCTCTCCCACAAAATAATTTAGTAAAATATACCTAGAAATACTCTTGGTAATATATCGATACAGCAGCCCACGATATCGATACTATATCATCAAATTAAACAATACGATATTTTGATATTTCAGTATTTTTGCACACCCCTAATAATGACTTAAATAATTATCTTAAGTACGCACTAGTAATGTTGCCATTTTTGAAAAATGTGTTGGTAAAAAGTTAATTTTTTTTCCGATTTCAGTATTAAGATCTGAAAATTCTCGGTTGTTAAAGAGAAAAGAGAAAAATACAATACATTCATCTATATTTTCATTGGTACTTCTTTGAATTCCTTTGAACAAATAGTCATTGCGTAAATGTTCCAATTTCAAATAGGTTTAGTAAAATTGGCAAGAAAAAAATTATTTTGATTACGGTAGGACTTACACAAAATTATAGGGGATTTTTTACATACATTTTTTAAAGTAAACGTTATGTGTAATAGTTCAGAAAAATAGTTCTAGTTGCCCACAAATTTTATGAAACAATGCTTTGAATTTGTTGGGTCTTAGGGTCAGAAAAACTTAATCAATTTTGTTGTAATCAGTTTTAGAGAATGAAGAAAATTCACAAAAATTCTCGGTTATTACAGAGAAAAGAGAAAAATATTATCCATCCATCATTCCATAGTTTCACTGGTACTTCTTTGAATTAATTTGAACAAATCATTTTAAGTTGTAAATGTTACATTTACGGTAGGACTTACACAAAATTATAGGGGATTTTTTACATACATTTTTAAAAGTTTACTTTATGTGTAATAGTTCAGAAAAATACTTCTAGTGGCCCACAAATTCTATGAAACAATACTGTGAGTTTGTTGGGTCTTGGGGTCAGAAAAACTTAATCAGTTTGTTGTAATCCATTTTAGTGAATGAAGAAAATTCACAAAAATTCTATGTTGTTACAGAGAAAAGAGAAAAATATAATACATTCATCCATATTTTGATTGGAATTCATTTGAACAAATAATTTTGAGTTGTAAATGTTTCAATTTCAAGTAGGTTTAGTAAAATTTCAAAGAAAAAAAATATTCTGATTAGGATTTACACATTACACACACATTACATTTTTTAAGTAAACTTTATGTGTAAGAAGATCAGAAGAATAGTTCTGGTTGTCCACAAAAAACTTTGAAAAACTTAATCAGTTTTGTTGTAATCAGTTTTAGTGAATGAGAAGATAATATTATATAACTTTTTAGTGTAATTATTGCACTACCAGTCAAAAGTTTCTACACACCTTCTCATTCAGTGCTTTTTTGCTTTATGTTTACTACTTTCTACATTTTACATTAGGTTAGAAACCAAATATTTGAAGCAAGATGTGTTTAGAATGATGAAAAAATGAAATAACTGAACTAAATATGTTTTATATTTTATATTCAGATCCTCATTAGTAGCCTCCCTTTGCTTTGTTGACAGCGTTGCAAACCCTTGACCTTTTCTCACGGAGCTCCTTGACGAAGTCTCCTGAAATGTTTTTCACTCACAGCTGTGCCATGTCAGGCTCAAGGAATGCCAAGAGTACAAACCAGGGTTCAAAGCAAAGGGTGGCTATTTTGAATTATGAGTTTATTTTTGTTCCATATGTGTCAAATCATAATGTTGATGGCTTTAGTGAGAATCTACAATACAAAAAAATCACTGAAATAAAGACGAAAATGTCCAAACTTTTGACTGACATTGTATGTCATATGTTAAAAATAATAATGACACTTGAATTACATGTTTACTGGGACAAAGCATTAGTGAAACCCTCCCACCTCTTAGCCTCTTGTTCCTCTGCCCTAGTTACCAAACCATTTACAAGTGTAGCCAGTTTGTCTAATGGCGTTGGCGGAGCACAAGGTGTCTTTGTGTGTGTGACCGCTAGCTCATCCCGCTAATGTAATGTCACCGGATGCCCCCCGTCCCCGCCTGGTGCAGCCTTGAGATTAGCGCGTAGTCGCCGTCAGCCGCGAACGCCGCTCCTCCATTCATCACCGCGGGGGCCCAGTCGTCTGCCTCCCTCTTCCCCTGTGTGTGCGAGTGTGTGTGTGTGTGCGAGTGAGTGTGTGGGTTGCTGAGGTAGCAGGCTGGCCTCAGAGCCGGAGAGTGGACAGTGAGGAGACAAATGGCCGCCTTCTGCAGTATGTCATTTAGGAAGACCGTGTCACCGTAGAATAGCGCGGGCCTGAATCAGCACTCAGCAGATTGAATGTAGACTTCTCCCGAGGCTAGACTTGGCACTGAGCGTTAAGATACTACTACCACTCTGCAGTTCACACCTCATATAGTATTTGCTGATAGTACGTCTGTTAGAACGCTTAAAGGGCCATATTACGCTGTTTTCTGATCTGTGTTATGATCACAAACGTACCCAGAGTTGTGTTTTCTTTCATTCACACGTGTTTAACACATAAACCTGCATTTAGGGTGAGTTCTCATCTCAAACAGAAAATACTCTGATCAATCTTGTGATCCAATCCATGTCATGTGTTTATATAGGAAGTGCTCAGGGAAGTTTTTTAATTCGCCTTCTCTAGTTATTTGGATAATCTCTACTGAACAAAAGGTAAAAGGTATTGTATTTTTCAGACTATGAGGCACACTTAAAATCCTTTAATTTTATCAAAAATCATCAGTGCGCCTAATAATCCAGTGCGCCTTATGTATTATTTCTGGTAGTGCTTGCTGACCCCAAACTGATTTTATGTGGTACACTGTGCTCAAAAATCTGTCAAAATGTTTTAGCATGACTTTTTAGTAAGCTTCGAAACCATACTGCTCGATGGATTGTCGGAGTATTACGGCTACTGTAGTCAGGAGCCTCGGAGTCTATGCAAATTAGCCACGTGGTTTTAAGTTTCATTTCTGTAAAACGGAAACAAATGTGCGCAAACCTGCATTAAACACATTATTACTCAACATATATTTGAGTCGTCCTCGTAGGAAATTAAAAAAACAAACTTAAATTATCCACCCACATTCACATTCATAATACACATTCACCAAGACAGGGAGGCAACGCCAGGTGAGTTAGTTATGCCTGGGCTAAAGGATCAGTCTCAAGTGTCATCTGTCTGCTTAATGCACCTTATAATCCGGTGCCGACTATGTATGAAAATAGTCGAGAGAATTCAACATTATTGATATTGCGCCTTTTGGTCCGAAAAATACAGTACTTTTATTGGTTTACTAAGCTCTTAGTCCTATTTATTTATCTGATCTGCTTTTATCATTTGACCCTCAACACACTGAAAACTAGCACTGTCCATTCCAGTCTAGTCCAGTCCAGTCTATTTATGCGTTTCGTGTAGGGAGTATTATACGTCTGGTGACCAAGATAACAAGGATTGAGTGGCCACAGTACAGCACAGCGCAGCAATTTCTCTTTCATTGATTCCAAAAAGACTAACTCTTTTCTTAGTACACTATCAGTCAAAGTTTGGACACATCTTCTGATTTAGTGATATAATCTGGTGCGCCTTATAGTCTGAAACATGCACTACTTTTATTGGTTTACAAAGCTCTTAGTCCTATTTATTTATCTGATCTGCTTCCATCATATGATCGTCAACACCCTCAACACAACTAGCACTGTCCATTCCAGTCTAGTCCAGTCCAGTCTGGTTATGCGTTTGTTGTAGGGAGTATTATACCTCTGGTGACCAAGATAACAAGGATTGAGGGGCCACAGTACAGCACAGCTCTGCAATTTCTCTATCACTCTCTTTTCCTACTACACTGTCAGTCAAAAGTTTGGACATATCTTCTGATTTAGTGTTATTTTGTTTCGCTTAATGCACCTTATAATCCAGCGTGTCTTATATTTTGAACTTGGGAAATGTAGACAGACTTATAATAAAGGATTACTCAAACATGTGCATGAAAGAAAACACAAATCCAGATCTGTTTTTGATGAGGTAACAACATTATAACATGATTTAAAGCTCACAAGAGTCAGTTTTGCGTAATATATGACCTTTAAGAGATATTTGTTGAGTAAGATAAGCAAACAGTAGTACGTGTTTAATAGTATCATAAATACTGTACAATTTATAAGTCCAGAGCGAATTATGACTGACATCTGTAAAAAAAAATCTGTAAAAATACTCAGGATTCTGTATAAACCACTGAAACTTAAAGTGTATATGACAGGTTTTCATTCTTTTTTCATTCTGACTTGGTGGGGCAGTACTTCAGAGGTTTACGTCAGTTAAGTGGCAGTTTGTGGGAAAATGTCGAGAAGAAGAAGGAAGTTGCACTGAGTTCTTAAAGAGAACTGAAAAGCCAAACAAACTATGCGGCATTTTATGTGGAACTGAAAACATGCTTGTGGAAGTTATGGATTGATGTAATAGTGAAATGTGGAAATGGTAGGTTAATATGTACTTATGACATCTTAAACATTGTCATAACAAAATAATGGAGTTGTCAAATATATATTTTTATTTGTTTAAGCATAACTATTGTGTAATTTAGAAAAGTTATGGCCTTGTTAAGATTATGGTTGCTTATGGTTGGTTATGGAGTTATGGAATTACTTCTACATATCTTGAACTTAAGTAATAAACTTCTCTAGGATTTAAAAATATATAGACAAAACATAGTAAAAAATGTTAGTAAAATTCCATATGTTATGTTAATTTTGTTTTAGTGATGCAATGAAAAATGACTTAGTGAAATGTGTAATGTAACCTGTCAAATGCATTTAAGGGTGCTTTGCTATGTTTAGTTTGCATGTTCTCCCCATGTTTACGAACACTCTGGACTAGTTATAATACACCAGGGGTGTCAAACCCAAATTCACAGAGGCCAAAATTAAAAACTGTTAGTAAGTTGTGGGCCAAACTAAATATTTATTGAAAAATTTCAACAACATCTTTCTCTTTCTTTGAGATATGTAATATTAAACCTTTTCTTATTAAAATAAATGTTTCATAACAGTTTTGCTTAAACATTGAATCCAGAACAAGCAAAATATAAAATAATAATAAAATTTTAAATAAATAATGTCTCTACAGCCTATCTGTAACCGGTGGGCAGCTCTAATAGATATTTGATATGATCTCGTGGGCAAAATATAATTATATTGCGAGCCAAATTTGGCCCCTGGGCCTGACTCTGACATGTCTGCAATAGATCTTTTTCACAACGGCCTGAAGTGCCCCGCTGTAGGTGTGCAGAACTTCCGATTAATGGTTTAATGGTTTTCTCCACCAGCTAAATAAATCTGCCTGCCCCATCACCAAATCTTCAACCCACAAGGTCCACCAAGGATAAACATTCTTCCATGAAGAATTTACCCACAACTATCAAGATAAGAAAGATGAAAACTTAAAGGCGAACAACGACTATCATTAGTGAACTACTGAGCAAAACTAACATTATGGATGGTATCCTAGAAATGGCTCACATTTGAACTGCACAAATCTATCTGTGCTAATATCAACATCATGAAATTGATTTTTTATTTTAATTGTAGAATTAGTGAACAAGTTACTTATGTTTTATTTATGACCATAACATTAATTTTGCTCAGTAGTTCACTAATGTGTCGTCGTTGTTCGCCTTTTAAGTTTTCGTCTTTCTTACCTTGATAGTTGTGGATAAATTCTTCAAGGGAAAATGTTTATCCTTTGTGGACCTGAAGTGTTTGCTGAAGATTTGGGGATGGGGCAGATTTATGAAGCCGGTGGAGAATACACCAGACATTTCCACAGAAATTTTGCCATAGAAAAACATTAACCGGAAGTTCCTCAAATCTACAGCGAGACACTTTCAGCCGTTGTGAAAAAGTTTTATAGGTTGGATCTAATTCTCAGTCTATCAAGTCTTTGCTTCTTAATAGACAATTAAATAAAACAGTGTGTTAAAGTTGTTGAGTATCTGCCAACCTCATTCAAATTAAACAGTCAAAACTAAAACAATGCATTATCTTATGAGGTACAATTTGCAATCTAAACTTGTGGCTTTAACTCCAGCTCCAGTGTAGGTGTTAGCTTGTCCCTGTGTGTGTGTGTGTCTGTGGGTGGTGTAGGTGCCTGACCCCGCCCCCCCATCTCCCTCCCTCTTTCTCTCTCTCTTTCTCTTTCACTCCTTCTCCCTCTCTTATCAGTCCTCTCCTATGCGCTGTCCTCAGTTGGCTTGTGTCTCCCTCTCAGAGCAGTATAGGCCCACACAGGGAGCGCAGCAATACCAGATCCATTCACATGCCTTGTGTTTGCATCGCAGGCCCGCAGGAGGAGGCCACCCTGGGGTCTGCGGGGGCGGCATGGAGCAGTCCGGAGGAGCTGTCGGAGCAGGCGTCCCAAGCACAGCACCTGGAGAGACTGGCCCAGCTCTGCATCATGAGCAAACAGTAAGTCACCTGTGGAGCGCAGGGGGAGAAAGATAACCTGACGTGTGACTTATCTGAGGAGACTTCTGTGTTTTATCATGTGTGGATGATAACACAGAGGTCCAATATTATGTGAAAGTGACTCTTTTCAGTTTTAAGACATGTTAGAATGATGTTAATCCCTCAAAAACATACTTGGAGTTGTGTTTTGTTTCATTCACACATGTTTGAGTAACCTTTTATTATTATTATTAGTCAGTTCATTAAGCTGTAGTTTTTAAGTTACGTTTTACCTTAAGTAGAGAGTGACAATTCCAGGGCTGAAATTATCCAAATTATTTTAGTGAGGTGTATGGAGTTTAAAAACATAGAGGAGAGTGTTAAATATGCAGGGTTTGTGCGTTAAACATGTGAGAATGAAACAAAACACAACTTCAGGTCTGTTTTTGAGGTGGAAACAACATTGTAAAAGAGATCAAAAAATAACATAATATTGGCCCTTTAAATTCTGAGAGAAAATTCACTTACTGATCTGAAAGTTGGCATTTCATTCCTTACCGTTGTGTCCTTGGGCAAGACATTCCTCCACCCTGCCTCCCAGATCTGTGTTCATAAGTGGGTTAGTGTGTAAGTGTATGTGAATATAAATGACTACTTTGATCCTTTGTATAAAGACTATTTTAGTAGTTTTGAAAAGTGACTGCGTTGTGACCTGTGTTAAAATCACTTGGTAGGATCAGAGTTATTTATTTTTATTTCCCTTGAGATCTGATTTATTTTAGTTTTGCTTAGTGTTAACCTGTAATGTCAGCAGCAATCTGTGGAGGTAAGGTGTTCTGCTATTTCTAGACATTTGTGTAATTACTATATAAATAGACGACTACTACACGTTCAATGATGAGTCAAGAGCTCAAAATTTACTGCTGAAACATTTAGACTGTAACTTAAATGAGTAAAGGAAACTGTAGATATTCAAAACAGTCTTCTAAATTATGTGATGAATATTTCAGAAACATAGTGGTCATACGTTTTAATAATAAGTTCCACATTTTCAGAGGTGGATACTACACAGTTGTGTTTAGTCAGTTACATAAAGTTGAGTAACTTTTTTTAAAGCGAAAACCTTTCCAGCAGGATACTTTTGCTCCTACTTGAGTAATATTTGTTTTGAGCTAACAGTTTTGGTTCCTCTCTCACTTTGGTAAGTCTAAAAGTGACAAAAAGAAAAAGCTTTATGTTGACAATATGACATGATTTGAACAGTTGTGTTTCTAGCAACACTCCTTCAGATATGATTTAGTATTTCTGATTTATCTATCATTTGAAAACACCAGATTTTGTCTTCAGTTTTAATTTAATTTTGTGTAGAGTTTTATTTAATGTTGTGTAATGTTTTTTAACTTCAATTTACATTAGACTCTTTAAGTAAATCTTGCTTGAGTAATCGTTTTCCTAAATCCTTTTTGACTAAGTAATTTCTTAACTACTACTTGGCACTTCAACTTGAGTAATATTATTTTGAAGTAACGTCACTTTTACTGAAGTACGATTTCTGGCAACTCTACCCACCTCTACAAATTTGTCATCGTCAAATGCCAAAGTGCCCCATGTCAGGATGACTCTAAAGATGAATTACGCTACAGTATACTGTTCTACAAAAGTCTGCGTTCCAATCACTCCGTATTGTAAATGACGTTGTCCAAAATGATCTCATGTTTTTACAACACAACTTGAACTTTGGAAAATTCTTACTCCATGTCCTCGTCACACTGATTAAACGCATGTCATATATACTACATTCCAAATATTCCAGGAAATCTGTCCCACTTTGCTTAAACAAACAGTGTATTTACTTGTGTTATCACCAGTCATGTGGCATGGCAAGACACTTTGATAAACATAAACCTTGACTTACTTTTAAAATCCCAGCAGATAACATTCAAAACACAGACTCCACGCAGTCCAGCACTACTACAATGTACTTCTATTTTTGCACTTTGAGCTTTGTATCATGCGTTGTCCCTAAAATAACATTCTTGTGAAGTTAAAAATCTGCTCAGACAAATAATTCTTTGTCTCACGCAAACACACACACACACATTCCCCTGTTGTGGAGTGGAAATTTTCAGTCTCAGATAAGGCCCTTCTCCTGATGCGTTTGGGCAGAGTTGGATTTCCCTGTTTAAAAAGGCGACACCGCTGACTACGTGTGCGTTACCAGGCTCTGTGGCAGATCTGTTGTCATTGTTGGGACTGGCCCTTTTAACCTGATTGTGGGAGAGGGTGACAGGGTGACACGGCTGACACGGGTGACACAGGTGACATGGGTGAAGCTCTGCACACGTACTCTTCTGTTAAAGTTAGATGAGGGGCTGGGTGATCGTACATGCACCCAGCTCGGGGAGAGTGATCTGATCGCCTGAATGATCTTTGAGTTTGGTTATGCAACTGTGTAAAATAGAAGAAAGTTGTGTAAGTCGTAGTTGGGTCCCTCACGATTCAATACGATACACGATACATGGCTCACGATATGATATTATCACAATATGGCTATACATGCAGTAATCAATACATAATAATCACACATGGTACTGATATATTGCTGTTTTATGAGAACCAAATACATTTTAACCACTGTTTTTCTTTATTAATCCACTTCTTAACAAAGTAAATATGAAAAACATGAATATGTCAAGTGTATTACATAAACAAGTTTTCTTACACTAAATAAGCAACAAAATTCTAGTGTGGTCACACAAAAAATTGCTAAAAGTTACCAAAAAATAAATACTTGTGGCGATGTATTGATACAGCAGCCCACAATAACGATGCTGTATCACCAAATTTAGTGTCTTGATATTTCTATATTTTTGCACACCCCTAATCAATACTGAAGATCAAATTTTTTAAAGGTGCATTGTGTAGCTTTTCTGGTGGATGGTCTGTCATCTGATTGCCTTTTTAAGATGTTGCTTTACTTAGAATGTTCCACAAGCATTAAATTAATCAATCTTAGGAAGTGCATCCAGTGTAAAATAATAAAATAATAAATAAAATAAATAATAAATAAATAAATAAAATAATGCACACCAAAATGCACAACTGAAACTAATTTTATTGTGGGATTACAGGTCAGATATGTGGAGAGGCAAACTCACAATGCATGTTTTTCTATTCTTTCTTTTTTTGTAGCAATAGTTGAATAAATCAAAGTTTTCCAAAATGGTGTTGTGCACAGACGCAGCGGCTCAAAGCTCTTATGGGGTTATTTATAGTGTCCTATTTCGTTGTTTTCTAAGACAACGAGAATAAAATCTTGCATCTTGAATTTATGAATCTTGAAATGGGCATGTTTAATCCTATACTGTGGAACATCTCTATAGAAACAAAAAGTGACACAGTGCATCAACATTAAAGAAACAAAGAGGTATGTTTTACATCTGAATATGTTTTGTCTACAACTTTTGCCTCACAGCAGAAATATGAATGTTGTCACATTCAATCTAGATTCAACCTAAAACTTGTTGAGCAGGGTTAAGTAGACCAATATTCATTCAAATGTGAGAAGCGTCCCCGAGCGCTGCACTTTAGTCTGTCGTTGCTCCTTACAGATTACCTCAGCAACGGTGAAAGGAAAGGAACAAAATCCCTATGGGCACAGTGAAGTCTACTTTTCTGGAAGTGGGTCAGACACATTTTCTTTCTTCTCTGAGTTATTATTGCTTTGCCTGGAATATTCTAGCCAGGCTGGCGCCACCTAGTGCCTCCGCTCAATTTAATTTTTCTCCAGCGACTAGGTCAGGAATCAGAATACACTAGATATACACAATATACTACTCTTCACATTCTTCAAGAACCCCGGAAGTTGTAGACCGTGCACCGGCCAATCAGCGAAGAGCTGTGAAGCCATGACCTCAAACTCAAGCACCTGTCTGGGTTTTTTTTGTGGAACAGCACAAAAGTAAACAAAGCGGTTGAGATAAATCTAGACGAAGACAGACGTTCTGTGTTCACAACGATTCCCGTGATCAAGCATTTAAAGCCGAAACAAAGAGAATGTTGGGTGAATTTTATCATGGAGAAAGACGTTATTGCCCTTCTTTCTCTGGGATTTGGTGCCCGCGTACTGTCGAGCGAACGAATCCTAATGCTGCAAGGTCAAACGGTTTCAAGTGAAACCAGCTGATGAGTCAGGCTAGGAATATTCCACATGATGGCATTAAATTTATCAATCTATCTTAGAGATTGAACAATATATGGGTTGGCCAATATATCAGTCCGACATTTGAACATTTTAGTGCATAAGCTAACGGCCTTTAATCTCCAGCACAGACCGATTGTTTATCTTGATCAAATACACACAAAGCTTATTATATTAGGTTTGTGGTTTTAAAAAAAAGTGCTCTGGGTGAGTCTGTAGTAAATTAAAATACAGAATTTGAGGAAAATGATCAAAATCTGCCATTCATATCAGCCCAAAAATTATCAGCAGATCTAATCGGAGAGCGTATTTTCTAACTCTCTAAACAATCAATATCGCATCGGCCATGAAGAAACCCATATCAGATGATCTCTAATCCATCTGGAGACGAGCAGGTGACACCACAAAGCCACGACTCATGCCAGATCTGTGCAGAGTCTAGTTACCCATAGGAAGCGCAAAACAAATAGATGTAATTGTTGGACAAATACGCACCCTCGCCGTCAGCCGAAGTACATAACAGCTCCACAATGTCCTCGGAAGTCCTTTTGAGGCTGCACCGTGTGGCCTCCTCCTATCAGCGGCGATCAGGTGTCCCACTGGAGCACCCTTTAAGCACTGCAAGGCGACACCTGCATTAGTAATTGAAGGGAAGTGCGGATCTGGAACAACACTTAGCTGTACTTGCTCCACATACACAAACACACGTGAGGTCGAGGCCGTGGCTGCGCCCTGGATGCTATTCCCGGCCTGGACACTGTACGTTAGTAGCTGACACATCCTGATCGTGCTAACTTGAGGTAGCTTTAGCGCTCGCATGTGCTAGTTGAAGGGCAGCGGATAATGGGGTGGTAATCGGAGAGGGCCATGGTTTGGGTATCGCAGCTCGGTCTGGACTCAGATCTGGGCCAGGGGCATCCGGGGCTGGCAGGAGCTGGACGTTTCCACTGGGCACAGGTGGAGAGCGTGCACTGCTATTCTCTACTCACGTGGACGTTTCGGTACTTCAAAGTAACATTAGTCCAGTTGAAGTAGATTATAATAAGCATCAGCTCACTTCAAAACAAATACCAGTACCTCTATTAGTACTACTATGACTTATCACAGCGTATATTTATTACTAGGAGAGAGTTTATAAAGATGGTTGAGATAATTAATCCCCCATAAGGTTGGTTGCTTTTGAATTCCTTCCTTACAACATTGCTTATTGTTGTTGTTCCCTCGGGCAAAACACTTGACCTCATTTCTCTGTCTGCCCTATTATGGCTACTACTACAGCTACTATTATTTCAACTATTACCACAAGTACTTCGCAACCACTACTACTACTAAAATTACTACAGTTACGTCCTTACAAGGGATGTAACGATCAAATCTCACGGTACGATATTTATTGCGATATTTTGAAGACGCTGATATAATTGTAGATAGCACACTTTTTTTGCTTTTAAAATACCTTCACAAGATTTTGATGTGAATTATTTCCATCGTAATCCCAAGAATTCAAATAAAAAACATATTTCTTCATGTTGTTTGCACTGAAATGAATCATGGGATATGTAGTTCTCTATGTTTATAAGCTGCTGCTACTATAAAATCATGCATTTAAGCAAAGATACTTGTGATTCGATATATTGTGACAGCCCACGATATTATTGTGAGACTTTTGATGATATGATATCACGATATTTTGATTATTGTTACATCCCTATTCCTTAATTATGTAAACATAAATATTTCTCTAATATTTCCTTACAAAACACATTCCAGTAAATTCACTTGGTAACAGTATTAGTGTTGTTCTAATTCAATTCTACTTTCAAACTTGATTTTGATTCTAAGAAAAAGGCTTAATACTCTATTTCAGTACCACATAACAATAGTAGATTTGTTAATACTTTCCTGCGAATGAAGCTTTGCCACCACGGTAATATTAACAACAACTAGTATGCAGTGCACTTCCTGGTTATCAGACAATAAATTGCTTTTTAATTAAATGCAGACAGTATAGAGCAGACTTATTTTGACCTAAAGAGCTGCTTATACAATAAATTTATTCTGCGAGAAGAAAAAAAATGCTCAAATACATGGAGAATACAGGACTTTTAGAGGTGCATTGTGTAACTTGAAGATGAAAATGTTTTTCTTGGTATTTTGCGTTATAAAACCACATGTAATTGAATAAATATAAAGTAGAACTGTTTAATGTCACACTGTGGAACATCCCGGGCAAAGAAGTGACATATCCATAGAAACAAGCAGGTGACGGACCCCCAACCAAAACGTTACATAGTGCACCTTTAATATTTGAATATAGTTTTCTTGCAATCCTAAACGGTGAAAACTACAGTCCCAATTCTGGCCCTGGCTCCACGTCGCCGATCCCACAGCCCACAGCTCTCAGCTCTAATCACAGCAGCAGTGGCCCTTGTCTGTTTGGATTTTTCATGCTGCTGTTGTCCACACAGTGAAACAGATCCTCTCACCTGACCACACAGAGACACTGCACTGGGACGCCACACAGCGCATTGTAATGGAGAACGCCTCTGTGTGCTTAAAGCAGAGGGGATTACACATGAGGGGAAAGTACAGCCCCTCAAATGAATCCACTAATCTCTGTTTGCCACACAACCACGTCTGATAGATTTCTTTGTTCTTTTCTTTCTTTTCAGACCTCATCTGGCTCTAGAATACAGCGGTAAGGTGAGTAAACCTTTGAGGTAGCCTTTGTTGTCCATGGATTTGGCTAAAATTAAATTATGGTTAAATGCCCTATTGACTCTTGTGAGCTTTAAGCCATGTTAGAATGACATTATCTCCTCAAAAACATACCTGGAGTTGTGTTTTGTTTCTTTCACATGTTTGAATAATCCTGCATTATTATTTTGTCTACAAATCCAAAGCTCAGAATGCTCTGTTCCACCTTGTGATGTCATTAAGTGGTAGTTTTCAATTGCCTTTTAGCTTTTGTTCAGTAGAGATTGGAAATTCCAGGGCTGAGATTATCCAAAAGATTCTAGTGAACATGTATGGAGAATAAAAACACAGTGGAGCACTTCCTGTATTACCACATGACATCACAAGGTGGAATAGAGTGTTTGCCATTTGAGGGACAAACATGGCCTAAATATACAGGGTTTGTGTGTTAAATAGTGCTGGGTATTATTAAGAAGTTGCCGATATGATACATACCTCAATACATAGGCCATGATATGATACATATTTCGATACAGTGAGCTTTCAGGTCGATACGATATATTTCAGATTGACTCTATACGGTTCAATAAAAAATAAAGGCTAAATCATGGCTATGGTACTAAAAGTCTTTGTTAAACCACTTCTTGTGCAAAGTTCATATGAAAAACAGCCATTTTAATCATCAAAACAGTGAAAATGTCAAAAGTGTTGCATAAACAAGTTTCTTTCCTCTGAATAAGCAGCAAAACTGTAGCATTGCAACAAAATAATTTAGTAAAAAATATCAAAAAATACTGTTGGTGATATATCGATTTCAGGTTTGTTTTTGATGAGGACACTATAACTAAAATAATAAATATGGTGTAATATGGGTCCTTTAATAAGATCTATTTGTTTTTCCAGGCCACTAAAATCCACCAGAGGGCTTTTGGCAATGACCACCCCATCACAGCCCGGAGCCTGGAGCTCATGGCCACAGTGTACGCAGAGATCGGAAAAACAGAGTATTCGGGTGAGTATGGCAAGGCAAGAGGTACAAACTACAAACAACGTGTCTCTGCTTTATATCTCACACAAGGAAATTCAACATTAGTCATGAGGATTGACAGTTGTTTAAAAGTTCTCCCACCAACCAGGCAATAGGAAAGATTTCTGTCTTTCCTTCTGTGCATCCAGTATTAAAAGTTGCCAAATATATATGAAGCATGATCAACATGATCAAACATGGATAAAAAAAATATGTAATTTATGATTGAGGAACAGTAGATGGCAGCCTAGACAGTTGTAACTTACTGAACAGGGATATTTGTATCAGACACTCATTTCAATGTGTTTCAATCTTTTTAGTTCAGTCCCACGCTTGAACATCCTTGCACATGTCCTGTGGATTTGCCTATGTTGTGTATACATATCCTGACCACTATTTCCCCCTCACGTGCTCAGGTTTAAAAGTGCAGACATGACTTTACTGTATTGTACACAGAGGCCGCCCAATGCGTCTCCTGCAATATTTACAGCCTTAGCTCCTGTGCAAACATGTGAACACAGAAGTAGGTCATCAAACAGCCACCAACCTGCCACCTTCTCCGTCAAGAGGAAATATTTACATTTGGACTAACAGTGTTGTTGCCAGTAGAGAAGTTCGGACAAAAGTGTTACAGGTTGAGAGTGTTGAAAGAAAATGCAATAAAATACAGTTCAATATCGAATTGTGAAGTTATTTCATAATATTTATCGCATACATACTACTTGTTTTCAATGTATTTTAACATAATCTAAAAAGCACTGATTACTATAGAATAATGTAACTATTATTCGTAGTGTGGGTAAAGGGTAAACAGCAGTATATTTTATGGAGATATTTGAATCAGACTCCACACAGTTGATGGGAATCTAGTCTTACTTGTCTTTAAATTTGCATGTAACTTTTCTGGTAAGCAGTATACCGTCTGCTTGTTTCCATGTTATTACTTTGCCTAAAATGTTCCACACTATGGCAGTATACTTTTCTATCTTTAGATTTTTATGTTTAATCTATGATAGGTGGTTTTTTTTCTGTTTTTAATCCTTCAAAAACACATACCGTATTTTTTGGACTATAAGTCACTCTGGAGTATAAGTCGCACCAGCCAAAAAATGCGTAATGAAGAAGAAAAAAACATAAATAAGTCGCACTTTTTGGGAGAAATTTATTTTATAAAATCAGAGACCAGGAACCAACATTTCATCTTGAAACGCAAGTTATAGTAATAACAATAGAACAGAGAACAACAGACTGTTAATGTCACATATGAACAGTCCTTCAGATAAATATAGCATAAACAACAGAACGTAAGTTCTGAGTTCTGTTCTGAGAGTTCCAAAATCCAGCACTCCAGCAAAGTTGTATGGTGCACTCTCTTGGTTACCGTGAAGCTGTGTCCTTCATCCACGCTTTTACCCAGTCCGTCACAAGTTTCTCGCTCACTTCAAACTTTCTTTCTGTTCCTCGATTACCTTTTTCGACTGAATATTTCATTATTTGCAGCAGGACTTTTTCTGCAGGAGACATGCGCAGTAGAGTGAAGTGACAGTGGTACAGAAGTAATAGTAGTAGCAGATACTGACATACAAGCCTAGAGTGCCCACTCACGGCTGTCAGTGTGAAAATTTTAATATGTAAGTCGCACCAGAGTATAAGTCGCAGGACTACCAAAACCATGAAAAAAAAAGTGTAACTTAAAGTAAAAAAAAAGTAAATAAAAAAAAAAATACAGTATTCTTATTGTGAAGGGGGTTCTCCTTTCCACTGATCTGATATGCAACTTTGGCAATGGTGTCACCTGCTTGTTTCCATAGAGATAAATGAGTGTAATGCCATACTGTGGAACACTCCAGGCAAAGCAACAGCATCTCTTTGGCGATGTGACAGAACCTGAACCAGAAAAGTCACACAGTGCACTTTAAAACTAGACTCTGAAACAAAACTTGGATGAGAAACATGGACTAACTGACAAAGAATAATGAAGTTTAATTTTAGAATATTAATACTAATGCTATAATACTGTAAACATGATAATCATAATAAACCAATACTACATAAATAATCAGTACTTGAAATATAAACACTAACTTTTGCCCAGTCATTCTCTTCACATTCTTCATAAGGTGACCAGCTCCTCCCGTCTTGTAAATTTATCTCATTTGCATGTTTACATTTGCAACTTTTGTTTGTCGAAAAGCTTTCTCCCGTCGCCTTACCTCAGTCTCACTCTCCTCCTCGCGCCCTCTCCCTCTCTCCTTCTCTCTCTCACTCTATCATGGTCCTCTCTTTAGACTCTCTGGGCCAGTGTGTCTCGGCGCTGTCCAAACGATTCGCGGCGGCCGAAACCATCAAAGACTCCACGGTCAACAGCTGTGTCCCCCACCACCACCACAGCGAGAAGCACTCCGAGATCCGGCACAGGAAGGAGCACCAGCACGAGGCGGAGGACACGGACAAGCCCAAGGTAGAGGCGGATACTGGTGGTAGTAGCATGGGGTTAGCTGTTAGCGAAGGCTGTTTTCCAAGATGCGTGTCTCCTGGGGGGTTGTTAACGGCGAGCTGGTTGTTTGCGTTGCCCAGGTAACGTACGGCAAGGTCCCCACTTCGATTCTGAAAAGGCCGAGTCCGAGCTACGGGCTGGACTCGGAGCCGGGGCACAGGCGGAAAGGAGAGAGGAGAGTGAGGTTTCGGGAGCCGGAGACTACAGTACATGGTGAGTACAGTTACTATAAGACACAGATTAAAAACATGTAATATTTTTGAACCTAAAGCCTTGAAACATGAGGTCTAAGGCAGTTCAGGATAAAGAAGATGTGACAAAAATACAGAAATACCTAATTAAAAGCATATTTCAACCAAAAAAATGTACTAAACTAAAATAAAAGTGACATTAAAAGTGCACTATGTAACTATTCTGGTCTATTCTTGTCTCAATTGTGATGTTATTATTCCTTTGCCTGGAGATAGTCATGTTTAATGCCATAGTGCACTTTTAATTACAGGTGTTTCTGTTAAAAAATATCTTAAAAAGCATCCCCACTATGTACAGTTTGGATAAAAATGTTATGCAATAGGGCTTCAGCATAACTACATTTTTTACATTACATTTGTTAAGTATTTCTGGGGTTATTTACACTTATACAGTGCTGGAATAGCTGTACCATTTTTAGTTGTACCAAATATTTCAAATATAAAATCTAGATTCTGTCCCCATTGCTCATGTTAAACTAGAAATATTTGAGAGAAGACTGAAATAATAATAATCCTGTGCGTTTCAGAATGTGTTAGTAGAGGATTAAACTACAGGGTTAGCAGGTTTTAGGTTGTAGATATCTCGCCGACACTGGGAGGTTTAGTTATTTGTAAAGGGCTTTATCTAATCCTAATCCTAATCACAACTATTTTATCTTATGTTCTCACAAACACCTGACTGTAAGTAGGGGAGTCTTTTGTGATGTCACCAACTACTTAAAATTGCTGTGGCCATAGTAGGCAGCACAAACTTAGATATAGGAATATTTTACAAGAAAGAGGCAAATTTACCCAGTTGGCTCCACAGACTGTATAAAAAAGTGGACTGAGTGAGTGTGACGTCACCCATAGTGCTTGACTCCAGTAAATAAATAATAAATAAATAATACATAGATAAATAAATAAATGAGCAAGTGAATAAAAAAACACAAAAAATACAAAAATTAGCAAATAGAAAAATGGCATATAAAATCAATAAAAGACAGTCAGAAGACCACACAATTCTCCTGCCGTGTTAAAAGCCAGACAGTAAAAGTGTGTTTTTAAACAAGACTTAAAAGAATCGACTGAAGGGGGCGCTCTTAATGTGATGGGAGAGAGTGTTCCAAAGTTTGGGGCCAAATAGGGCTGGGTATCATCACGATGCTGCCGATACAATACATACCTCGACACATAAGCCACGATAAGATACATATCTCGATACAGGGAACTTTCCATTCGAAATGACATATTTCAAATCGATTTGATACAGTTCAATAAAAAATAATGTCTAAATGATGGCTATGATACTAAAAGTCTTTGTTTAAACCACATCTTATGGGAAGTAAATATGAAATAGACCCATTTTATTCATCAGAATTGTGAAAATGTCAAATGTGTTGCATAAACGAGTTTTCTTCCACTGAATAAGCAACAGAACTGTAGCTTTAACATAAATAATTTAGTAAAATATACCAAAAAATACTCTTGGCGATATATCAATACTGTATCATCACAATAAACGATACGATATATTGATATTTTGATATTTCTGCACACCCCTAGGGCCAGCCACAAAAAAGGCCCGGTCATCTCAGAGTCACTCCAGCTTTTGAGTCTCGTTTTTGGGACGATAAGTTGGAGCTGGCGTTCAGACCTCAGAGCTCAAGAAGGAGTGTAGGGAACAGTGAGATCTGAAACGTACTTTGGGGCCAGTCCATGATGTACTTTTAACCTATGTCCATTTCTATACAGTTTACAGTTTATGGGTTACACAAAAATTGCCAAACTTATAGGAACAGTAGACAAAGCTTTTCAAACACCATATACGCAAAAAGTGGATTTAGTGTTTAGTTTCACTTCAGTTTTCCTCGAATACAATAAACCTTCATAACATCAGTACCTGTGTCGTATAGTTTGAGTCCGAAATCCACGCTCATCTTCACTGCTTTACAACGCAACATGATTTACACTCTTTAGTTTTATGTGCATTCCACGTTCACAGTGACATGAGAGAGACTTTGTGCAAACATGCGATCCGTATTGTCCTACATGCATATGGCAGCCTCTCCCAGGGACCATCAAACCTCATGCATGTTTATTATTACCCCATCCACTCTGCATTCAAACTAGCTGCTTTGTCAACAATTGTCCTTTTGGGATCGAGCTGTATTAAAAAATAATGTTATGCCCAAAGATGCACATGGACATTAAGAAGTGATTTACTCTTAGAAATGAATTATGCATGCAAATGAGGAGCGGGTCTGGAGTCTGCTCTGTGAGATAGTGCGGTGGGAGAGTTAGCAGCTGTTGTACGTCACAGCGCCACGGACCCTGTTGACTTTTATTATGTCGACTCCACAGATATTCCGTACTCTGACACTTGGGGCACCGGTGAGTCGAGTTCAGGGTGTGTCCAATCACGAGCGTGCATGAAGCAGCAGCACTTGTAATCACAGAAGGATATGAGCGTAGAAAACACTGAATAGAGTTAAACTGCTTATTTGTACAGGTTGGCATAACATTGCACTGTCAAACTACCTTGGCTTCTTAAATGTGAGGAGAAAAGAAGGTAATCCGTGTATCATTCGTTCATTCATTTTTTAATATGAAAGCAAAAATAAGAAAACAAAAAACAACTGTTTTCTTCATTATTTGTCTCCAAAACCAAAATGAAAAAACAGATAACAATTAAGTCCCGTTTCTGTGACTTAAACTACAATGCCAGACTTTTGCGCCGCATACGGACTGAACCAGGACTAAACCAGGATTAAAATGTTTTCAGCCCTGGTCTGGTCCCAGTCTCAGTCCTGGTCTGGTCAAGATCTCAGTCCCGGTCTGGTCCCAGTCTCAGTCCAGGTCTCAATTATGGTCTGGTCCTGGTCTGGTCCCAGCCTTCATCCTGGTCTCAGTCCTGGTCTGGTCCCGGTCTCAGTCCCAGTCTCAGTCCTGGTCCTGTTCCCGGTCTCAGTCCTGATCTCAGTTCTGGTCTGGTCCTGGTCTCAGGCCCAGACTCAATCCTGGTCTGATCCCGGTCTAAGTCCTGGTCTCAGTCCCAGTCTGATTCCGGTCTGGTCCCGGACCTGGTTTAGTCCTGGTTCAGTCGCAGTTTAAGTCCCGTAAACGGGAAACGTTTCTCCATTATTTATTTAAACACAAAAACGAAAACTGAAAAAACGAATCGTTATCCATTTTTTCATTTTGGTTTTGGAGACAAATAATGAAGAAAATTGTTGTTTTTTCATTTTCTTATTTTTGGTTTTACATTGAAAAATGAAAGAATGATACTTGGATTGTAGGAGTTAACATTTGTTGCATTATTCTGTTTAGTGCTGTCACAATACTAAAATTTCTTTCAATAGGGAATATTCTCAGAACTCAATACTGATTTCAATACTTTTTTTTTTTTTAAAGGGCCCATATATTACGTTATTTTCTGATTTCTGAATGTTGTTTCCTCATTAAAAACAGACCCGGAGTTGTGTTTTGTTTCATTCACACATGTTTAACACACAAACCCTGCAGATTTAGGCTTTTTTGAAACAGAAAACCCTCTGTTCCACCTCGTGATGTCACGTGATAATAAATTAAGCGCTCCACTGTGTTTTTAAACTCCATACACCATCGCTAGAAATGAAAAGAAATTACTCAAGTAAGAAAAAAAGTACTTGAATTTGAAGTTAAAGTAAATTGAAGGACAAAATATTAAATAATGCACAAAATCTATCTGCATTTTCAAAGGACAGACAAAAAATTAGGAAAACTACATTATATCTGAGGGAGTGTTGCTAGAAACACAAATGTTCAAATCATTTCATATTGCCATAAAGCTTTTGTCACAAGCATTTTGAGCTCTGGAGATAGACAGGATCATAAGAAATGGTAACTCAAACATGTGTGAATGAAACAAAACAGGTATGTTTTGAGGAGATCATCGTTCTAACATGACTTAAGGCTTAGAAGAGTAAACTTTGCATAATATAGGACTTTTAACAACAGGATGTAATTTTCAACACCAATAACCATTTCATAACCATGTTATCTTATACTAGCAGAACTAGTTACAAGATCCTGTTTGATCTGCAATCATTTTAATCACTGATGATTGCTCCAATTAGTATCTAGTTTCAATAATGGTTTTAGTATCACTTAGTATTTAATTTTTTTTATAATCTTTTAGACAATCCTAATTCTTTTATACAATTTTCCAATATATATATTATGTATGATTTTTTTATTTATTATCTCTACTTGTACTTTGACTGTACCAATGTAAGGTTTGGTCACCCACAAGCGCCCACATGGGGTCAGTAGAAAGCACAGTTAGCAAATAAGATATTTCAAATATAATGACATAATATTTTGCCCTGAAAAGAAATGTTTTGCAGCACCTAAACTAGAATTTGAAAAATCTATTCAATGAAGTCTGAAAATGCACTCTTTTCAGGCATATATAGATTTTTTCTCATGTGTGTTAGAAAATGTACTAAATCTGCTCCAAGATCATGTTAAAGAGCCCATATTACACTATTTTCTGATCTGTTATTATGTTGTTTCCTCATTTAAAACACACCTGGAGTTGTGTTTAAACAGAAAGGTGCCCTTACTGGAAAATGAAAAGTGGGCGAGGTACAAACCTGTGGCACTCCGACTGAATATATTAAAAGTCCTTTATTTCATGGAGTAACACCAACGTGTTTCAACCAGCAAGATGGTCTTTGGTTTGTACCTTACCTACTTTTACATTTTCCAGTAAGGATAACTTTCTGTTTAGAGACTACTAATTTAACCCTCGTAGAGCACCTGTTTTTTATTCTTTTATGACCCAGTGAAGCGCTCTACCTCATTTCTTCATCTGACACCTGGAGTTGTGTTTTGTTTCATTCACACAAACCCTGCATGTTTAGGCTGAGTTCTTCTTTCAGACAAAAAACAAACCATATCTCTATTTTTATCTCCATACACTTTCACTAGAATCATTTGGATAATTTCAGCCGTGGAATTTACCATCTCCACTGAACTTTAAAACTACCACTACATGACATCAGAGCATTTTGAGCTTTGGAGATGTAGACAGACATGTGAATGAAACAAAACACAACTCTGGGTATGTTTTTGATGAGGTAACAACATTATAACATGACTTAAAGCTCACAAGAGTCACTTTTACGTAATATAGGACCTTTAATGCTCAATTAATCTCAATATGGCAGCCTGGGGATATTTTAACAACACAGTTTCAGTCACGTGTGCAGTCACCTCACCTCAAACCCTCCTTCAAAACTATGCACCACCTGATTTCCCTTTTAACCTTTGCAATTCAAATCGCTCTCATTCATTATCGTGTCTCTCTCTTTCTTTCTCTCAGCCTACGAGACGTCTCCCTCCCGCCCTCACCTGGCCCTCTTCACCTGCCTCTTCCTGCTCATGTCTCTGCTGGGCGTGGCCATGTACTGCACGGACCGCCGGCGCCCCCAGAGGCTGTGCGAGGAACTGGAGGCCACGCTGGCTGTCTACATCCTCCACATGAAGCAGCTGCTATGGGGCTGCTGGATATGGCTCACCATGCAGTGACTCGGACCAATACTGGAGGATAGATAAACGATTCCTCTTTTTGGTTATTTTTTTCTCTCTTTAAGGTGCGTGGGCATCTTAACACTTCAGCCATATGATTGACAGGAAGAGAGCGGCGTCAGAGCGCACTCTAGTGGACAAGGGATGAAGTTTGGATCCCAGAAATATGTAGCTTATGTGTCTTGTATGTATATAACAGGAGAGGGCTGTCCCGATCCTTTTGCACATGCTCACATATACTCACATAATTCCACACTTTCTGTCTGTCTGTGTCTCCATGGAATGCGGATACTTATTTTTTGTGTTTTTTTTTTTTTCTTCTGTATCTGTGTTTCAATATAATAAGGACTAACGCACTACTCAGCCTTGATATTGCACATTAAAGTGAATGTAGGGAGGTAGGTTTGAATGGCACTTTCACTATTAGAGATGCAGTGCACAAAATATGGGTCGGAAAGCAGAGGTGGGTAGAGTAGCCAAAAATTGTACGCAAATAAGAGTAATGCTACTTTGAAATAACATTACTCAAGTAGAAGTACGACCTCGTGGTCCAAGAAATGACTCAAGTAAGAGGAAAATACTTGAATTTGAAGGTAAAGTAATTAGGTAATGCACAAAATCTGTCTGTATTTTCAAAGGACAGACACAAACATAAGAAAAAATGCATTATATCTGAAGGAGCGGTGCTAACACAAATGTTCAAATCATTTCATATTGTCAACATAAAACTTTTGTTATTTGCAGAAGAAGAACCACGACTTTTACTGAAGTAAAAGCACTGTTACACTGTTAAATATCTTACTCAAGTAGGAGTAAAAGTATGCTGCTAAAGTACGCTGCTAGAAAAGAAAAGTACAGTTTCTTTAAAAAGTTACTTGAGTAAATGTAACTACTAGTACTACCCACCTCTGTTGGAAAGTAACATTGAAACGTGTCATGTTATCTGAGATTTGTCTATTGTCAAAGAGGATATACTCAAGTGAATGAATGCTACTGCTTTCAATGGTCTTTATAATCGCTTGTATACCACGGAATAACCTCCCTAAAACCAGGCGCACATCGAAAAATATTGTGAAAAATATTAATTAAAATAACAGAAACAGAGGTAATGATGAAAACTGTGTTAAATTTATCACAGGATTTCAATTTTTAGACTAGAATTTTACACAATTTACACTAAAATTTAAAGTTGCACTGCGTAACTTTACTGGTAGAAGGTCCACTACTTGTTCGTATCCATGGAGACGTTATTGCTTTGGGGTTGAATGTTCTCGATAAACGTATGTATCTCCATGGAGGCCAAGTCACAGGCCAGATCTGCGAAAAGGCGACCCCAGTAACACCAAGAAAGCATGTTTTCAGTGTATTTTTTCTATTAAATAAATGGTAGTTAGATGTTTAATGCTACACTGTGTAACATTCCAGGCAAAGCAGCAACATCTCCATGGAGACAAGCAGGTGACAGACTAAAAAAGTTACGCAGGTCACCTTTAAAGTTTTCCGATATGCGCCTGTACATGTCTTTTACTATTAGACACTTTCTGCGTTCACACAAAACCTTTAACTGAATATTCATTTTTTAAACTTTTTGTTACCTTGTATTCAAAAATTTGTATTGAGAATAATAATAATCAGGTTTTGTGACATCATCAGACTGTTGTGAGCTAACTTAGGTGTCCCATCGTCATTACCGCTACTGCTACAAGGCCAAAAACAATAGACAATTCCCTTTATCAAACAAACAGATGCATTTTCTAACAGCCAAACCATTGTACTAATGGGTTTGGGGTCAAAGGGCACAGAAACGAAAACCAACACCTCTCATTATAAGCAATAACACACACTAGAGTCAGTAAAACATGTCCTTTATATAACACCATTTTCAGGAAAATCAGAGGAGTTTTGGATACTGAATGTCTCATAGCGATGCAATGTGAGGCTAAAGAAAGAAGTAAAAGCATCGTTTTCATTCAGTCAAGTACAAAACCAGTTCTTTTACATTTGGGACACTGTCAAATTGAAAATATACAGTTAACACAACATAACAAGTCCTTTTCAATATGATTACTGCAACAAAAAGATGTGAAGAGTGAATAAGTGAAGAGATAAATTGTTAAAATACAGATATGGATTGAGTCTGCCTGAAGAAATGATATAATAATTAATGTTACAAAATGAAAAATGAAAATTCAGACAAAATTCCAAAACAAATTTTAACTCCTTAACGCCAAAGCACTTGTTTCTAGTTGCCACAAATTTGCAACATACTCACATTTCTGTTTTTCGTTTTTGGCTATAGTCAAATTAATCATCTCAACTTAATTTACCATCTACTTTAAAGCAAAAACACACACAAAACTTTTTTAAATATACATCTATATAAATTCAGGCGTTAAGAAGTTAAAAAACAAAGCATATATGAATTTCTGTCAACATTCCAACTTATAAAATTGTACTGTGAGTTGATTTATGTTGCCACTATTTGAATAATGATATAGTAAACAAAAATTCTACATACAAAGAGCTGTTCGGACAAACTTACCAAACAAAATTGCAATTAAAAAAGTAAAATTCACATATAGATTGCTGTAAACATCCCAGCTTATAGAATTGGGAATAGAATTGCCACTGATTATTCCAACTTTGCACATTGGGCATAAAAATGAGCCACTACTGCTTAATGAAAATGAATAGACTCTTTTAATGTGAATACTTGATTAGAGCTGCAATCACAGTCCAATCAAAATCGCAGTTTGAATGGATGCAAGTAGCAAATGTTACTCTGCACAAAACTTCTAACCCCTGTAGTTTAGATCTGTACAAACTAGGGTTGCCAAAACAAGTCTCGAAACTCAGATACTAGTATGTAAGTATCAATACTGAAGAAAAATCACGTAACTAGTGTAATGGTACCACATGGTATAATGAACAAATACTTTTAATTTGTATTGAAAATTACAATATTGCCTAAAAAAGAGCGCAAAATTGAGTTTTAAATTTTAGTATCGTGGCACAAACTTGTTCTGAAATGTGATTCTTGAATTTGTATTTTTGTCCATTTTAAACTTTGAACAGAATCCTATTATTAAAACAAAAACGGCAAATCGAATCGCAATTCTGCACGTCGCAGTTTGACATTTTTCCTAAACAGTTCAATCTTGTACTTGATATGTTTTATTTGTGTTTTATTTTCATTTGACAGTGTCCCATCTCATTCAGAACCCGATTTGTAATTCGTCATCCGCAATAAACCCAACGCATATCTCCCATAGAAGCACACTACGTAGAATAGCCTCCATTTTCCGAATCCCCACATCTGTCCAATCATTTCTGGTCACTCTCGAGCAGTGCCTTTATCAATGCTCCTCAGTTCTTTTATGATTTCTATTGTTTTGAATAAAAGTGTCATTGCCTATCAAAACCCAGTGTTTAATTTCTCTTTGTAAAATACTAAACAAAAACGCATGCAACTTCTCCAATATATATAAGTCAAAATATGACACGATTGTAGCTTTTTCGATCGGCAGGTAGCTAAAAGCGTTTTCAGATGTGTTGCTAGCGGTTAATACATGAGTCATAGATTTGTTCTTGCCGATAAAAGGTGCGAGTACACTTAAAGCACTTATCCTCAGCAGCATGCCAAAAGGAGTCTCACTGGGCCAGAAGCAGAGCGCGCGTCCTACCTGAAAGCCTGCTAAACTGGTAAATGGTAGAATTATATAAAACAAATGTCTACACAGCTTAGAAGCCTATAGTTTGTCATGCAGTAGATCCATGCAGATTCACAAAGACGATATGAGCCGTCGGGCATTCGCGCCATCGGATTTCCTCAGTCGCTTTGGTTCAGTTTAAAAAATTTGGGAGTTATGGTTGTGTTTCCAAAATTTTGGACTATGATTTACAGTTTTTTAAAGAAATAAAGAACCAGATAACCTGTATATGACTAACAATATTATTTTGTGTGAATTATTCCTGAATTTGAGTTCTTCATTCAACAAGCTGACCACGAAATGATAGCCAGATTCATCAGGTTTCACTTCATGGAAACCGTCATGCATTAGGATTCGTTCGCTTAACGGTAGGTGGGTACTTTTTTAATTTAACCAATCGCTGCTATTTGGTCGTGACGTATGTAATGCGCCAAATCCCGTAGGAAGAAGGGCAATAACGTTTTTACCCTTGATAAAATTCACCAAACATTCTCTTTGTTCCGGCTTTAAATCTTCGATCTCGGGACTCGTTGCCAACACAGAATGTATATCTTTGTCTACATGCATCTCGACCGCTTTGTTTACTGTTGTGCTGTACCACAAAACCCATACAGGCGCTTGAGTTTGACGTCATGGATTCATAGCTCTTCGCTGATTGGCCGGTGCACAGTCTACAACTTCCGGGGTTCTTGCAAAAACCATCCAGTGTATTCTGATTCCTGACCTAGTCGCCGGAGAGAAATGAAATTGAACAGAGCCTGGCTGACTAAACGAGCCAATAAAATGTAAATCTGATTTGGAACAGTTTTAAAAATACACAGTGCAAAAGGGACACTATGTAACTTTGTCTGAACTCTGGAGTTTTCCACATTATGACATTAAACATTTCTATCTCCATGGAGACAAGTGACCCCAAACAGACCAAGTTACAGATCAGAAATGTAGAGATGAAGAGTGAATGTTTTCAAGTTATTTTGGAGCCATTAAACACATTTAATTGAATAAGAAAGTAAGTAAGATATGTTTAATGTCATATTGTGGTACATTTTAGGCAGAGCAGTAACATCTCCATGGAAACAAGTGGGTTACATAGTGCACCCTGTCATACCACTGGGTGCACAAGTCACAGTCGCCTCAAAAAGTGGAGCATCTCTATCTTTAGCCCGGTCAGATCTCACCGTGTTTTTAAACGAACCAAAGCAAATGAGGAAAACCGCACAAATCAATACTTGTAACACATAATCTGACAACAACAGGTTATACAATTCCTTTAAATAATCATAATACTGCTGTAGCTGAACTCTGTCTCCTTATACCCACAGGAGAGGAACCATCAGAGGAGATATTGGGATGAAAAATCCGTATCTTGAAGAACAATACAAGAGCGTGCCTATTTTTGAATCCACAGTCAGCTCAAAGCACAGTCATGGTTATGATTGTCTACACGGGCAGTTGTGTGTCTCATGGGAGGAGGGGTCTTGTGCAGTTGGGGTCAAAATTCAGTCTAGGTAGGGTCAGGTTTGGGGTTTAAAGGTGCACTATGTAGCTTTTCTGGTGGAGGATCCGCTACCAGTTTGTCACCGTGGGAATGTTGCGATATTCCACAGTATGGCTTTGAAAGTAAGATAAGATAAACCTTATTGTTCCAAGGGGAAATTTGTCTATTTATCGAGTATCTATTGGGTGGGAACGCTAAACTGTTAGAGGTCAGATCTGTGCTTGCGGGTAAAAATGGCAAAGTGCCTTTCGTTTAGACGGTGACAGTGTTTTTGAGGCTTAAAAACACTGTCACCATCGCTAAAATCTGAAACCATCCTCCAGAGTGAAAAAACTGAATACGCTCGGCCGTAGTGTTTCCATCTACGCTGCCCAAGACGCAGAGCTCTGGTCAGATATGTACGAGTTTACGTCACAGTCGGATGGCATGCATACCCAATCGAATTCCACACACTTTTACATCATGGTACATACACAGATTTCCTCCCGAAAATGCTCGTCTAAATGCGGAATTAAAGGTTCAAACCGTCATCATATACTCTAAGAATGGCTGTTTTACAAGGTGTTTTTGAGCATTATAAACACCCTTAATGATGAAATAAATGCAAGATAGATTTGTTTAATGCCATGCTGTGGAACAATCCGGGCAAGACAACAAAATTTCTGTGGAGACAAACAGGTAGCAGACCCTCCACTGAAAAAGTTATATAATGCACCTTTAAATATGGTTGTATTAGATTAGAAAGTGGTTGGAAGAAGGACTAGATTGAAGAAAGTTGGACTTGGTGCGGGTTCTTGTGCAGTTGGGATGGTGGTCTTGGTTGGGGGGGTCTAGGTCTGGGGGGGTCTGGAGGTCTAGAGTATTCCGGTCTTGAGGTCGGAGTTGCGGCGGGAGCGTCCGAGCAGCAGATCCTTCTCGTGGATCAGGCTGTCGAGCAGATCCTCTTGTCTGTAGTTGTGGTAGACCTTTAGGAAGGCTATGATCGCGATGCCCAGCCAGGCCAGCCAGGCGGCCCACAGACCAAACTACACACAAATAAAGCGTAAGATTTAGATATTTATCAGGTATTATAAGAACAGTATCACTAGACTTACCTGAGCTATAGCAAACTGGTCATAGAAAGCAGAATTGTCCACACCCAGTTCTAGATCAGTGTCCTGCAGATCCTCACAACTAGAAATAAAAATAGAAAATAATACTTGTAACGATATCCAAATCTCACAGTATATTTATTGCAATATTCTGAAGATTAAATTGCAGATGGGACACTTTTTTGCTTTTAAACTACCTTGAAAAGATATTGGTCTGAATTATTCTCGTCATAATCTCAAAAATTCAAGTAAAAAACATATATTTTCATGTTGTCTGCACTGAAATGAATCATGGGATATGTAGTTCCCTATGTTTATAAGTTGTTGCTACTATAAAACCACGCATTTAAACAAAGGAACTTGTAATTCGATATATTGTAACAGTCTGCGATATTATTTTGAGACTTTTGAAGATACGATATCATGATATTTCTGTTATTGTTACATCCATACTTGGTAGTGTTGTCACAATAGTAAAATGTCAAACTTGATTTCTATACTAAAGAATAGACTTTATACTCAGTACTGCTTCTGATACCACAATGATAATAAAAAAAAACACTCTTTCTTTAGACAATAGAATGTAATTTTCAGTTTTAAACCACAGTACTTTGATTTATATTCCTATGTGGTTTTATATCTGCGTAATCCCTCAGTGGTTCACGGGCGCAGACTAGCCTACGTGCTCTTACACTTGTTCTCATACAGCTCAAGATCATTCTAAACTAGTCAGGAAAGGTTCATTTCTGTCTAGTGAATGTGACTTTTTTAGTATTGATACCTTCTTATAAGAGTAACTAGTTTTCATACTTGTTTTAGTGTCAATTAGCATCTGATTTTTGATACTTTTGACTAGAGGCGGCGCAACCATCAGGCAACAGTAGGCGGCCGCTTAGGACCTCAAACCTGGAGGGGTCCTCAACCAATTGCCCTCAGTGCCACTTATGGTTGAAGCCTCAGAGCAATTAGATTTTCTCTTAGTATGACATTAAATGAGAGTAGTTTTACTTTTAAACAAGAAAACATCATTAAAATAGCATCTGACTGTCAAATCTAACTTTAATTTAACTGTCAAAGCTTTCCCCACTTTCACGTTAGAATGGACGAGTCAGCTTGACCTGGATTTGTACATAATCACACTATAATCATAATCATATGTAAAACAAAAATGTAATTGTACCAGCAAAAAAATTAAAACTAATTTCAGCTCTGGTTATCTAGTAGGCAACCGAACTAATAAGACAAGCTTCCAATCCACCCTAATTCAAATAAAGATGTGTGTGTTTCATGAACAATGGGGGAAAAATGGATAATAAATATATAAATACAAAAACAAAATAGTGCATTATAGTGAGGGCCCCGATCTCAAATTTGCCTAGAGCCCCCATGCAACTGTACTTTTACTTGACTACAAACGTTCTGTACTCTTTTAACCACTGCTTATTTCTCGAAAATCTTGATGGTAACTTCATTAAAATGCGTTCTAACACATTCCTGATGCCTGATGTGGGGGTGGACCTACCTGCTGGGCATACTGCCACTCTCTGTGATGGCGTCGCACCACAGGTTAAAGCCCACGCTCACGATGGTGCTGGAGAGGAAGACTGTGAACACCACCAGGGCGCTGATCAGGAGGTTCAGGAACGCGTTGAAGATGGAGCTGTCGGCACAAAGACACATAAAAACATGACAATATATAAGGGCATGTTTTGTTAGATGTCAGTTCTCAAGTGAGTCATGTTAATAAAGATGCACAGTATATGTAAGTCTGTACTGCTCTCCACTTATTTGTCCATGCATGTAGCCTACACACAGTTGAGTCACGGTTCAGTCCAGGTTCAAGGCTGTATATATTTGTCCATTTATAGACGTAGTTAGTCCAGGTTTAGTCTTGGTTTAGTCCTGGAGGTAGTGTCAGAGTGTAGTTTAGGGTGAATGGTTTGAGAGCCACTGTCACAGCCCTTGTATGTCAGAAGTCACCGTTATGTCTCATGTGTTGTGTTTCTTGTGTTGTGTGTTTCATTGTTGTGTTTCATGTGTTGTGTTTCATGTGTTGTGTTTCATGTGTTGTGTGTCTCATGTGTTGTGTTTCATGTGTTGTGTGTTTCATGTGTTGTGTGTCTCATGTGTTGTGTTTCATGTGTTGTGTTTCATGTGTTGTGTGTCATGTGTTGTGTGTCATGTGTTGTGTTTCATGTGTTGTGTTTCATGTGTTGTGTTTCATGTGTTGTGTTTCTCGTGTTGTGTTCTTATTGGTTAACGCGGCTGTAAATGGTGACGTAGTTGTGATTAGCCCTGTGTGGTATCTGCGCTGGGAATCTCCATCAGCCATGACAGTGATGAATTATTTCAGGAATTTCCAGAAATATCCTAATGTTTCTTATAAATGAGGCATTTATCTGAGTAAATCTCTCCATCTGAGGAGAATGGCATGGGCGTGGGTGAAGGACAGAGCGCACACTGAGAGCCTAAGCCTCTGGTCTCCACACACACACACACACACACGCACACACACACACACACATAGATGGAGAATATGGACGGTCGGTCACTTACTCGTCGTGTCCCTTGCAGAGGAAGAAGAGCAGTCTCCAGGCCTGCACGGCGGACAGCACGAGGGACGCTATCCCGACAAAAGTGATGAAGCTGCAGGCGGACTCGGGGCCCCACTCCTCCACGATGAAGCGCTGCTTGGACACAGTAATGTTCTCGTTCTGCCACATTCCCCGCGTGAACAGCAGACATTTACCCCCGAAGTCCTCCGTGTTCTCCGACAGAGGCACCACAGCGATAAAGCCGAACATAAAGGCTAAAAAATAAAGGATGCATTGCGCGAAAATTAAATTATTGAGGGCCATTTTCGCTCTCCCTCTTCTCCGCCGCGTCCTGCACTAGCTGCGCCTGCGCACTGGCGGAGGAGAGCGGAGGCGCAGCATCCAGAACAGTGCGCTGAGAGAGAGTTGAGGAGGGCTGTGAGGGGCTGTGAGGGACTGTGAGGGACTGTGAGGGACTGTGTAGGGCTGTGAGGGGCTGGGACTGTGAGGAGGTCTGTCTGCAGATGATCCAGCCACGGCCCCAGACCCACGGCTCAGACTCACAGTGACCCGGGGCGCTCGGTCTTGTCTCGGCTCGGCGCAGTCTGAGCTCCTCCTGATTCACTGGAGCACTTTCCTGTTCTCTGGGGTCATGTGTTACAGTGATGGATCAGGACAGCAGAGGCTCACTGGTCTAATGTAAGCTCTTTAGAACTCATCCAAAATACAATGACAAACATGGAGCTTAAGTGATTCATAAAACATAAAGTAGATCCCATATTATAATTGTGACAGTGAAAACATAATTCATACTAACTGGTTAATCTGTCTGTGATTAATGGGTGGGTTAATTAGTCATCTGAGCATGAATCCCATTAAAACATAGAGGAGTAGACTATAGGCTTAATGATGACTAAAGCGCGGTCACACTAAAAGCAGTTTCTCACTGTTAGTTATACAACATGTGCAAATGTCTGGATGAATTATTCACACAGCTTCAGCCTGCTGCAGTCACACAGGCCCATGTAAACTGTCACAGCTCTCACCAGTAGGGCTCCTCTGTACACTTCACTAGTCTGCAGAATAGCGACTATATAGGCCCACCGCCTCATAGTCTGACTGCATATTTAATGGGGAACAAATGTTGGCTAAGGATGTAGCCTTTACACATTTTACACAGCAAAATGAAATGCAAATATGTCCTTCATTGTTAGGGTCATGAAACACCAACACTGTAGTCAGTCCAGTTATATATGGCCCCCAAATATCCCCAAACCCGGCACAGCTCCTGTCTGGGAGTATATTAATGTATGAATTATACAGGGAAAATGTGGTTGTTTGAGGATCTGTACAGACACATATTGAGGTTAAATTAAACTTTATTGTACCACACAGGAAAATAAAGTTGTTGTGACATAATAGATTCTAGTATGACAGATAAATACTGTATAAGGAGAAGTAATAAAGCTGCTGCTGGGAGATTTACACAAACAGAACATGATGGCCACGGTTATAATTTTGTGTTTTGGTTTTCAAGATGATTATCACTGAGCCTCACATGAGTCTCTCATTTGGGTTGCCAAATCCAAAGCTGAAATCCAGTTGGTTTAAATGTAAAATGCCTCTCTCTGATCTGAATGGTGACTACCTAAACCCCGCACATGCACCAGTCAGGACTCAGTGCTAGTGCGGCCTCTGCAGCTCAGGGAGGGAATTGTGGAGGTTCTGAGTATTGCTGGGTTTCAGATGACATTACAAAATTCTATAAGTCAGTATTCATCAATGCAGATGGAGGTGAGCTAGTATTTATTATTGATAAAATGCAGATTTGTTTTGTAATACAGTGAATTTTTGGTCTAGTCAGTCATAGAAATTATTAGGTTCAACATTTGTGCATTTATTTTTTTAGATATTTGATGGCAAAGTACACTGTAATCAATAGAAAAAACTATCCCTTACCCCCATCGATCTGAGAGTATGAGAGTATTATTACACACTAGAATCTGAAAATCTACTAATATGGACAGGCCTCATGTGGAAGCTGAGAAAAACTTGTATATGTCCTTTATCTGCAGGTGAAAGGTTGTGGGGACACACGTTCAGTAGTGATTGTAGTAAAATTGTAGTTGTACTTGTGGTACTACAAGCAGAACTGGAACGTACCAGACTGTTTTTTGCATTTGTAGGTTTGTTATACAACTGATATTGATAAATGATTGATTTCACTAATAATATTTCACATGCACAGGAGCTTGACAGTTAGTTTTTATCACATGATTGACAGAATAGAATCAAAAAACAAATAATGTAATAGTCTTACAGGTTTAAAGGTGCATTGTGTAACAGTTCTTCAACTGTTTTTTGTTGTTTTGGTTTTTTTCCCATGGAGATGTTATTGCTTTGTCTGGAATGTTTTACAGTGTGGTATTAAAACTTTCTATTGTCATGGAGACCAAATCAGACCAAGTCAGAGGTCAGATCTGTGGAGAGGTGACCCCACTCACAGTAAAAATGTATATATTTGCACAATAAATAACACCTGTAGTTGAATAAATGCATGACAGATGAGCTTAATGCCTCACTGTGGACAATTTAAACCAAAGCAATAACATCTCTAAGGAAACAAACAGGTTGCAGACGACTTTCCTTTTGGTGGAGGCTCCGTCAAATACTTTTCTCCATGGAGACATTATTGCTTTGTCTCTTTCTATCTTCATGAAAACCAAAGCAAACCAAGTGGCAGGTCAGATCTGTGGAGAGGCGACCCTGCTCACAGTCAGAATGCCTGTTTATCTAGATATGTTTGAGCTATAAAACCACCTGTGATCGAAAAAATGTAAGTAAATGCAATGACACATCCATAGAAACAAGCAAGTGACGGATCCCCAATCAAAAAGTTACACTGTGCACCTTTAACTACGCGTCCCTGGCTCAACAACACCTGTGTGAAGAACACTAATGTGAAGTGACTGTTAAGAGCTTAAGTTTAAGAGCTAAGTCAAGTGTTTTCTCCGTAAGGTCGGCACAGGTCATGTCTTTTCTTTTCCTCCCTCTCCTCTCTCCTGTGGCTCTTTCTTTAGTCACAACAACACATCTTAAAACCAAACCAGGTATAGCTGTCACAACCATCTGAGCCGCTTCACTGCCCCCATCTGCTCCAGACGACAAGGTGGCTCTCCCCTTCACCAGCACCACTCTGCTCTCTGACTCCCTCTAGTGGACGGGCAACCTGTAAAACACACAACAAATCATTCACATTTAGAGGTGGGAGAGTAGACAAAAACTGTACTACTTCAAAATAATACTACTTAACAGTGTATTATGTAATTTTTCTGGTAGAGGGTCTGTCTGTTTTCTCGTAATTAAACCTTTCTATCTTCATGGAAACAAAACCAGACCAAGTTAAAGGTGAGATCTATGGAGAGGCAAGCCCGTTCACAGTCAGAATGCCTGATTTTCTAGGTATTTTTGAGCTTTAAAACCATCTGTAACTGAATAAATGCAAATGTAGAGCTGTTTAATGTGGAAAATTCGAGCCAGAGCAAAGATATATCCATAGAAACAAGCAGGTCACGGACCCACAACCAAAAAGTTACATAGTAAACCTTAAAAGTAGAAGTACAAAGTAGGGGACCCACTTTTACTCTCTGGCTTTTAACTGTGTGAGTTGTGTGGTCCTCTGTATCTTTTATTTATTTAATTTTATTCATTGTTTTATCATTTGTAGCTTTATTCATGTTAACACTTTTTATTTATTGTTTTTATATGATTGACTGTCTTTTACTGTATTCATTTGTTTGTACAGCACTTTAAAAACTGTTATGTTTATAAAATGTGCTATATAAATAAAGTGGATTGAACTGGATAATTTAAAGGAAAAAAAACATGAAATAATGCACAAAATGTGGATTTTTCTAAGGATACACACAAAAATGAGACAAACTAAATCATTGCAAGAAACACAAATGTTCGAATCATTAAGAATAAAGATTTGTCACTTGGTCTTACTCACAGTGGGAAGAAGAACCACAACTTTTACTCAAGTAAGAGTAGTGCTACTTCAGTAAAATACTACTCCAATAGGAGTACGAGGATAAACGTTTGCTGCTACTCTGAAAAGTACAATTTCTTTAAAGATTACTCTAGTCAGAGGTGGGGACTTGCAATTCATGATCTGGACTCGAGTCAGACTTGAGTCACTCTTTTTAGGACTTGAGACTTGACTTGATAAAATGGACTAAGACTTGGGACTCGACTTGGATTTGAAGGTCAATGACTTGGGACTTGACTCAACGCTTCTCCTAAACTATGCATATGTTTTTAGAAAGTACTTTTCTCATTACAGTTGATGAATGCAGTGATTAATTTTACAGGAACAAACTGGAACATGTCCCTCACACTTCTCTGTTTGGTACTTTGGATGTAACTGAAATATCATCAAATTTACTACAGTAATATAGAGTACAACACAGTAAAACAGAAGGAATGACATAGGACTTGATCCTTCCATTTCACTGCAGACTACATGACAAAATAACTGTTATGAAGCACATTTAAATCTGAATTCTTTCTGTTCTGACCATAATGATTCACACCAAGATATTGTTAAGACATTTAAAAAGGAAAACTTTTTCTATAACTGAATAATATAAAACAAATACTATAAAAATACTAAATAAATCTAATATAAATACTCAAATATAAATATATTTTTTTTTATGTACAATTAAGCTTAAAAGTCACATAAATTGCAAAAATCCAAAGACTTGAAATGACTTGAAGCTCAAAGGAGACGACATGGACTTGACTTGGACTTGCAAAACAAAGACTTGATCCCACCTCTGACTCTAATAAATGTAACTGAGTACTGCCCACCTCTGCTCACATTTGCCCACATGCCTGATGGGTAATTCATCAAATACTTACGGTGAGTTATTGCACATCAGAAATTATTAATCGCTTGGTATTTTTTACATAATCTTGGCGCGGTACAAAGACAAGTATTTATAAGAGTGATTTGTATCTGTAGCACACAAACACGGTTTTGCATCATCCCCCGTGCATATGATTTATAGGTCATTTTGTCAAGGCGCTGCACTGACGCCAGCATCATGTGATCAGATTACAGATTACGGTTATTACAAGTGCGCGGCTCCATCACTGTTTGTGTGGGCTGCAAAACTGTTTAAATGAAGCTTGTGTTCTGTTGATGTTCTGGTATTTGATGCTGGCTGAGGGTCTGTAGCTGGAAGAAATATTTGAACAGAGAATTCTACAAATGATGGCTATTGTTTATTGGAAAAACTTTTACAAATGGACCAAATTAAAGGCGCTTATTTCCCCCATGTATCTGAGCAAATTTGTGTTGCTTCAGAACAAATATATTGTATTGTATAAGCAGCTTTTCAGGTTAAAATCAGAGCTCTGTGCTGTTTGCATGTAATTGCAATTTTGCGATTGCAATTAACGATTTTTGTGGGTTCAAGAATCAGGAAGTGTGTGATTAGCATACTAGTTGTTGTTGAAAAGTTCATCGCGGTGAATAATTAGGATGTTCAAAATGTGTAATTATTATTTTTTTTTTCACATTTCTAACATTTAACTAGTCTGAAAGAAAAGATATTAAATTTTAACTTCTGATAATCTTTAATCTGTTTCGAATCTTTTGCGGCAATGTTGTAGTGCGCTTCCTACATAAGCGTAAATACGAATATAATGCAGCCGAGCTCCTAACATGTCATGTCCTGTGTTCTGTCCGGCCCTTCAGGCAAATTTTAGGACCATATGTGGCCCGCGAGCTAAAAAGTTTGCCCACCCCTGGACTAGGCTATATCATATTTAGAATCTACAAGTGGTGGCAGTGACTCAGTGGATAGACTGTAACACAGACGTTGGAGGTTTAATCCCGGCTTTGAATAGTGCATTCTGTTGTTGTTGTTGTGTCCTTAAGCAAGACACTTAGAGCAAGGACTTTGAGTTATTTTCTCATCCCTTATAATGTTGTTTACTCATCACAAACAGGCCTGGAGTTGTGTTTTGTTTCATTCACACATGTTTAACACACAAATCCTGCATATGGTAGTTCTTCTCTCAGACACAAAACACTCTGTTCTACTTTATGATGTTATGTGGTAAAACAGGAAGTGCTCCACTGTGTTTTTAAACTCCATACACCATCACTGGAATTATTTGGGCAATTTCAGTCTTGGAATTTCCAATCTCTACTAAACAAAAACTAAAAGGCAGCTGTCAACTTGAAAACTACCACTACATGACATGACAAGGTGCGCATTTTGAGCTTTGGAGATGTAAGCAGACTAAGCTGTAAAGAGCTACTCAAACATGTGTGAATGAAAACACAATTTAGGATATGTTTTTTGATGAGGGAACATCATTTTAACACACCTTGAAGCTCACAAGAGTCAATTTTGCTTAATACAGGACCTTTAAAACGCCATCCCTTTGACAAAACGTAACCATTTTCTGATACAATAATTCTAAAATACTTACAAAACCCTGTCCCCATAAGGCTCTCTCTTTAAACAAACAGCACATTAGACGACATGGCCTAGTGCTGCTTTAAATAATACAAAGGCGTGGGCTTGTGGACTGTGCACCCGCGGGACACCGACTCCACCACCACCACCACCACCACCGCTCTACTGAAATATGGGTTAAGATATTCAGCCTCGTAACAAAGCGCTCGGCCACGGGAGGAGAGGCTAACTACTGGTGGTGATGGTGGGAGGAGGAGGAGGAGTGGAAGATGGAAGTCCGAATGTAGTCCCAGAACAAGAAAGAGAGAGTAAGAGAAAGAGATAGAGAGAGAGGAGCGCTGGGAGGTCATCCATTTTTCATGAGAAGCGATGGCTGAAAAAGTAAACATGCTTTTTTTTCTGTAGAGAAGGAAACCAGGGAAGAATTTTAAGTGCTCTATCTCAAGGACAGTGTGTGTGTTTTTAATATGTAGGCTGTGTGTTCATGGTAATGCTCCCAGCAGCCACCAGCCTTGTAATGTCCAATGTAAATAGGTCACGTGACTCGCAAATGTCTAACGGAGCAGGTTTGAAATATGGGATCACTATAAATTTATGTCAGATCTGTTTTTAAGATGTGGTGTTAAAGGGAAATGACAATATTTGATGGATTTGAGCTGCACTGTGTAACTATTCTGGGGGGAAAATCTGTATTTTGATGAGAGTAGCTGATTTATAATTTGAAGTGAATATAATTTGAAAGAAAAACATAAAATAATGCACAACAGAAGAGTGGAGAAACCAAAACTTTTACTCAAGTACGCGTACTGTTACTTAAATACTGAATATAATAAAATACTACTCAAATAGAAGTAAGAGTATGCTGCTAGAAAAGTACTCTGAAAAGTACAAACAAAAAGTTATTAGTATATAATGGACCAAATTGTGTAAAATTCAGTGGTAAAGTACTGTACTAAAATATAAATGTTAGGTATCTGTCCTTTACTTAAATAGATTTTTAAAGGGGAATAGGGGTGGGTTAATATAAGTTTTTTTTTTCTTCTTTCCACTGCTTTTTGAGAAATGTGCTCGTTCTGTTTAAAATAAATGTAAATTAAAGTAAATGTAATGAAGTAATGCAATGCAATAAAGTAAATGTAGTATGTGTATGATTATTGATTCTCTCTTGGCACAAACTCGAAATAAAAACAAATCAAATTAAAGTGGATACTCTATATTTTTACTTCAGTACATTTGCAAGCAGGTATCTGTACTTTCTACTCCACTACATTTTTGAACAGAAAACTTATTTTTTATTATAATTTGAGCCTTTATTTTTAACAAGTTCATCATTTGAGCTAACAAAAATATACAAAATGTGACTTAAACTGCGATGCCGGACTGAACCGGGACTGAACCGGGACTGAACCAGGACTGAACCAGGACTGAACCAGGACTGAACTGTTTTCAGTCTTGGTATGGTCCAAGTCTCAGACCCGGTCTTAGTCCTGGTCTGGTCCTGGTCTGGTCCCAGTCTCTGTCCCGGTCTCAGTCCCGGTCTCATTCCTGGTCCTGTTCCCGGTCGCAGTCCTGGTCTCAGTTCTGGTATGGTCCTGGTCTCAGTCCCGGTCTCCGTCCCGGTCTCCGTCCCGGTCTCACTTCCTGGTCTGGTTCTGGCCTGGTCCCGGACCTGGTTTAATCCTGGTTTAGTCCTGGTTCAGTCCTGATTCATTTCAGCATCGCAGTTTAAGTCACGTAAACGGGAAACGGCCGTTATCAGTTTTTTCCATCATTCTTTTAAACACAAAATCAAAAACTGAAAAAAACAAATAGTGAAGAAAATTGTTGTTTCGTTTTCTTATTTTTGGTTTTATATTGAAAAACGAATGAACGAATAAAACACAGATTATTGTTACATCCCTACTTTTTACTCTTTAAATACATTTTTAAACACGTACTTACAAATATTTAATACTTTTACTGAAGTCGATTTTATCATGTGATACTTTTACTTGAGTATTTCTTTCTTCTTTTACTTAAGAAACAAAATTGAGTCCTTCTTCCACCACTGCTACAATTATTCCTCAGTATTACCTCCGGCATTTTCCACCCATCCTCATTTCATTTTTTTCTTTTTGCGACTGCTCCTCACGGACATTTTGCCGGTAGCATTCCGATGTGCCGCGTAGTCTTTGTCAGGCTGGAAAACAAAACCGAAAACACAACAATTATTAAAGGCTCATATCTCAGCCCGCATGATGAAACCTCTTGTATCCATCGATCTTTCCCAGGGGGGCGGAGGAGACGGGAGACGCTGGACCCACCGCTGATTAAAACCTCCTAATAGCGGCCGTACATCTCCAGGCTCCATCCCAAATGTTGCCTCCACTACGCCCACTGCCCCCTCCTCCTTTCTCTGGGAATATATTATAGTTTTTATGAGAAGTCAATAATCAGACTACATATTTTCCCAGTAACAAGATGACTTCATTCAGAAAAAATATTTATAACTTTACAGTAAATAAATTTTATGAGTTATGCCATCATTAGTGTGAGCATCAACAGGAGGTCGTAAAACCCCGCGGCTACGTCAACACTGCAAATAAAATTAATTATTACTGTTTCTAAAAATGGATTTCCATTTAATACACTCTAGATTAGAAGCATCTGGTCAATTGTGTTTGTCGAAAAATGTTTGATTTTAGTGTGAATGTAGATTTTGCAGTTGGATGTGAATAAGAGACTAAGAGAGAACAGGGAGAGAGGCGCAATAATTGGTACAGTTTTAATCTCTTTTTGTGAAATAAATAAACAAATAAATAATCAGATAGCTGTTCCTTTTAAAGATAATTCTGTGCATAGATTATAGCTAGCAATAGTTTATATGAGAAACCAGAAAATATTGTAAAGTCGGAAAAAAGTAGCTATAAGAAGGATTCAAATATGTTTAAATATTACGCTATTTTCTGAGTTTTGTTTCATTCACGCATGTTTAACACACAAATCCTGCAAATTTCTCTCAAATATGTGATAATACAGGACGTGCTCCACTGTGATTTTAAACTTCATACACCTTCACTAGAACCATTTTGATAATTTCAACAACACATAGCAATTAACTTGAAAACTACTGTTTCATGACATCACAAGGTGGGACAGAGCATTTGACAGCATTTGGAGCTTTGGAGATGCAGACAGACTAATAATAAAGGATTACCATACTCAAAAATGTAAGAATGAAACAAAATCTAGGTTGACCAGATGTCCCTTTTCCCCTGGAACAGTCCCAGTTTTGAGCCCTGTGTCCCCTGTCCCAGCAGATTTATACAAAACTAGGAATGTAACAATAACCAAAATATCGTGATATCTTATCGTTAAAGTTCTCACAATAATATTGTGGACCATCACAATATATCGAATTACAAGTCTCTTTGCTTAAATTAAGAGTTATGATGCAGCAATAGCTTAAAATAAGACAGAGGGAACTACATAGACCATGATCCTTTGCTCCATTTCAGTGCAGACTACATGAAGAAATGACAGTTCTAAGCACTTTTAAGTCTTAGTTCTTTGGATTAAGTCTTGTCAAGGCATTTTAAGAGGAAAAAGTTTAATATTTGCCTCCATAAAATATTGCAATAAATGTCGTACTGTGAGATGTATGTATGATTTGGATATTGTTACATTTCTAATCGTGAGCCTCCCCACCATTTACTGAGCTTTCCCACGATATCGCAATAAATATCGTACAGTGAGGTTCATACCCTGACGGTATTGTATTGTGAGACTTGGATATCGTTACACCCCTATTCAAAACCACTGCTTTGTCCCAGTTTTATACAAGAAATGTTTCAGGTGTCCCTATTTTGAACCAATTTGATGCCAATTTTCCTTGCCAGTTGCCATTTGTTTAGGTAAAATACAGAAAAGCTGATTACAAATTACCAAAACACAAAGAAAATGTGACTATACTGACACATGTTATTCGTGAATGGGTCAAGAGCATAACAATATTTCTTAATTACGCACTCGATTCACAGTTTTATTATTACCAACCACCACAAACCGGGAATGTCCCAGTTTTTTATTCTGAAAATCTGGTCACCCTAAACAAAACACAACTCCGGGCATGTTTTTGAGGAGGCAACAACATTCTAACTCAAAGCAAGAGTCAGTTTTGCATAATATAGGACCTTGAAATTAACTTAAATTAACACTTGAGTTTGCAGTTAATCAAATTGTAATCAAGATTCAGTCAATTCAAAATCATCAGTAATCAGCTTTTGTAAATCGAGAGATCTAGAGCCGATCCTCAGCAGACAGAATTTTGTTTGTGTTAATTGGTACAGATTTTAAGCCTTGTTAACAAACAGAAAATGTATATAAAAAAAGACAGATGTTTTTTGTAGGGATGCAACAATCCAAATAATCTCACAATAATATCGTGGGGCGTCACAATATATTGAATTACAAGTTTCTTTGTTTAAATGCGTTGTTTTATTGTAGCAGCAGCTAATAAACATTGGGAACTCCATGATTCATTTCAGCACAGACAACATGAAGAAATATGCTTTTTACTTGAATTCTTGACATTATGACAGAAATAATCCACACCAAAATCTTGTCAAGGTGTTTTAAAAGCAAAAAAGTGTCTTATCTAATTATATCGCAATAAATATCATACCGCAGAGTCCTGCACCGGGTCGTGGAGCAGGGTGTCCGCAAAGCACGATTGGGTGACTGCTGTGCTTACCTCCGTGTAGCGCGGAGCTCGGCACCAGTTCTTTCGCCCACGGTCACCCGACAGTCTACACTGGCGCACCTCCGATAGTCCAAGTCCGTCCTGACAGTGAGTCCTGGTTCAGTTCTGGTTTAGTCCTGGTTTAGTCCTAGTTTAGTCCTCCTGGTTCAGTCCTGGATCAGTCCTAGGTTACTCCTGGGTTAGTCCTGGCTCAGTCCATGGTGTGTGCGGCGCAGAAGTCCAGCATCTCAATCAGTGTTTCTTCTGCTCTGTAAATGATGCCTGTGTATTTTTGACAGTAGATTCATGTCTGTGAATTCGTATTTGTACTGAAGAAAGCGTAACCGTTTCATTTAATTTCGTGATTGTAAATCTTGACGTCATAACTTTTCAATTCGTATTCTGATGGATGCTTCAGTTAGAATACTTTTAATTTGTGTATGATTTATCAAGGGCACGGGCGGATAATGGTGAAATGTTAACAGGTCCGGGCGGGTGTGGGTTTAACTTTATATAATCTCGGGTTAACGGGCAGGTGTGGTGCTGTACTGCGCGGGTGCTGGTGGGCGCTGGTCTCCAAAAATGGACCCGTGCAGGACTCTGTGGTACCGTGAGATGCATATCGTGATTTTATCGTACCAAGAAATTTGGATATCGTTACATCCTTAATGTTTTGTCATATTTCCCAACCCTATTTGTACTGTATTAAAAAAACTAACTGACTGAAATGAGGGAATCTAATTTACTTCCTTGCTGTCACATTGTACTGCAGTAGTGTCAAGTATTCATCTGAGTACCACTAGTAAACAACACATAGTACACTGTAAGTACACTTGTAGTAATTTCCATTGTGTATTGTCATAACACGCCTCTATTACCTCCATGCAAATTGATGAATATGCGAAACAACTCCTGTACTACAAACCCGTCCCTCGCAGCGTCGTACAGTGAAGACACGGGGCCCTCATCAATTAACGTGGCCTGATTACGTTTCACCTGCCAGGCTCCATATGGCCCCCAATCCTGCACACGTAATGAGGTCACGGCGCTAATCCAAACAATTATCCAATAACAGCCCGGTAACGCAATGTTATCTGGACATACGCGGGAGGGAAGATAATATTATCAACTCTAATGACAATATGGATGTTTTCATGTGTGGCGCTGGGTTGTGGATGATATCACAGCGTCGTATAGAGCTGGGATGTTTAGGGGACGCTACGTAACTTTTGTGGTGGGGTGGTCTTCAGAGAGCTGTTATTGCGTTTCCTGGTGACAATGTGGCGTATCTAGCTTGCATTTAATCAGTTTACATGATTTACTTGGTCAAAAATGACTTGAAAAATGTGTAACTTGGCCTGGCTGTGTCTAAATTAAATGCTCTACTGTGGAACATTCTCAGCAAACCAATACCAGGATCACACCAGGAGTTTTCTGCACATAAAGCAGCAGGCTGACACAAAACTACAGGGTAAAATTAGTGTTAAGTGAGATAAACTCTTAACAAATACTTAATACAAATACTTACAAAATACGCTGATTATGGCCTGGAACTGAAGCCCTTAAAGTTCGATTTGTGTGTCAAATGATCTCCAAACTCATATAATCGAGTTGAAATGATTTAAAGCTTAACAACATTTATTTTGGGATATTTTTTTCTATAAATAATTATATTTATTTTCATTTTTAAATATTGAGATTGCAGAACAGCTAGATATATAGTTTATTTTGGATACATTAATGTTTTCTATGTACAAAGGTTTTCTATGCCTTATTTCACGTTCAAAGTATATTTTATTCATTTCATGTTTTATACATCTTGAAACAGCTCTAAAGTTCATATTTGTAGCCTATATTTATTTTCAATTTGAAAGTTTTGTGTAAATTATTAATAACAGTGGGGTTTTTTTTTGAGAGAAAATGCAGAATAAATGCAACGCGTAACTAAAAAATTTGAATGAGGTTTGAATGATTGTGATTTCAATATTGAAAATAATCGTGATAATGATTTTTTCCATAATTGAGCAGCCCTACCCCTTTTTAAAAGAAAAAAAAAACAGAACTAAATATTTTATAAAATTAAAACATTAAATAAAAATTAGTTTAAAATTTTTGTAGCTAGAAATTGGACTGCCATTATTTTATACAATCAAGGTAACTAAGTCACTTTATCCTTTTATATATTTGCATATTTACATATACAGTTGCTTATTGATACTTTGCAGTGACGTCATGTTGAGGGTGTTCTTGTATTTATATATTTATTTTGCACGTATAACATAACAATAAAAAAACACACTAGATAAAAAAGGAAGAGGCAAAAAACCCAAAAAGGGCTTCTGCATGTATGTTTATGATGGAATGCACACTAAGCTGATTTAAGGAAAACATATACTGGTATTGGTAAGAAATATTTTTAAAAATACATTCACAAAAAATACTCAAATATCTTAAATCTGTCATTCCTCTATATTTTGCTGTTCAATTTACACTTTCACAAAATGTTAATATCGACAGTAGAAACGTTCCCCGTGTCACTTAAACCCTACAGACATATTCAATACGATAATGTCACCTGAAACCAAGCTATACGGTTCTGCACATTGTAGATATTGATTGTAGCGCTTTCATATTTGCACAATGACTTCATGACGGGGGGAGGCTGTGAAAGATGTGATGTTGACACTAGAGGACAGGATAAAGGGCGGTGAAGGGGGCTAAAGAGGACACCTGCTGGGCTGCATGGGGCCCTCTCCTCTGGGGCCAGAAATGAGATCATCCGAATCCAACAGGCTAGCTCTGGAACAATACTGACCCCTACTGGCACATGTGGGAAGTGATACAATCGTTTTATACACTAATACTGTAGATGTACCTGTTTTCCATCTTGGCTGTATTCTTTGTGCGTCATAGGGGGCGCATAGGGAAACACCGTGAATGAATGAAGCTGGTGTGGTCCAATTGTAGATATAGATGAAGTGCCTGCAAAAATATTAGCAAAAAATTAGTGAAAAAAGAGGAAATTGTCATGTGGAATTATAATTGGTTAAAAGGACAGTCCAGAATTTTGGACATAGGACCTCATTTCCTAGTGAGTGAGTGTTGGAGACGTGTGGAGACACTTTTTAAAATATTCTATCCAGTCCTTGTATTTACAGAGGTCGCTGGTGCTTGGCTAGTGCACGTCAACGGCCATAGTTATCCTGCCACTAAAAATACTCTACAAATCTTACCCACTCTACAAATCACCAGAAGCAAATCTGTTATTACGCCAGACTGCTGGTGTGAATGCCTGTGATGATAAAATAATGTTTGAAATAAAACTAACCTTCCATCGCATGCATGTTGTTGTGTGTCAAAGTCAGTCTTTTCAACTCTTTTGAACCATATCGCTTTTGTTTCTCTTCTGATATTGTCATATTTTAGTTTTGGGATTCGGACGTCGTAATTGTGTGGTTGCTGGATGTCCTAACAGCGGAAAACGACTCAAGAAATGGGCTTTGGAAGTTTGCAAACTCCATAAATGCAAAAGGGAATCAGATCTGTGTGACTGCAAATCTCCATTCAAACTGTTTCCCTTCCCAATGGAATTGAAAAATAGTGGAAGACGAAGGCGATGGGCAGTATTGATACACAGGAAGGACAAAAAAGATATCTTAAAAAATCATCCCGAGTTTGTAGCGAACATTTTCCAAAATCCCAATCCCTCGCTCAACCATGGTTACGAATTTAAAAAGTCAACACCAAAGCGAAAGGCACCAGCTGTTCACCAAGAAACAACTTCCACTGCAAAGCGACCAAGACGTGATGTTGCTGTAAAACCACAAGAACAAGAAAGTGCGAGTTCAGTCTGTTTGTCCTCTGCACCTCTCACTTAACAAACAGGATTTTGATGCTCATTTTTTTCAGAGGACCCTTCCCAGTATGCATTGCGCGATGACTGGAAGACCAAAATTCGGGATGCAAGTATTGGATACTGTTTTCCACATATTAAAGATGCTATATTACACAGCTTTAAGCCATGTTATAATGTTGTTACCTCATAAAAACATACCTGGAGTTGTGTTTTCTTTCATTCACACATGTTTGAGTAACTCTGCATTATTAGTCAGTCTACATTAACAGCTAAGGCATAAAAACCTACCAAACCACAGTACAGCACAACGAAATATCCATGACTTTAATTTACAGAATGGTTACCCACACAACTCCAGATTTCCATTACAATTTCAATTCTTGCATGCTGTCTTTTTTGGCCCGCGTCCAGTCTGCATTACAGTAGCAGCCCCTGTGTTATGCAAGGATGCCCTCTCATCTTTAACCTCAGCTCCAAAGACACAATCCCTGAGGCCCAGAGATGCTTAGCTCGGCCGGGCAGATGGAGTCGGCTCTGGCAGTAGCAGTGGTAACAGAGGAGACCCAGCAGCCCCCCTTCAGAGCATGTAGGGAGGGGGGAGAGGGGGCTGTTTTCTGGGTGACTGACTACACCAAGGTTAAGGGGAAGCAATCTGACTTTCTCACTTCCGCAGTATATTCCAGCTCCTATAGTGAAGCTCTAGTGACTGCCCGCTGCTCGTACAAGTGCCTCTGTATGGGCCCACAGCGGGAAACTCCACATAGTAAAAGACTGTGTGGAGTTCTCAAGGAAGTGGACATGATGCGGTTAAGTTCGTTTGGCAGTGGTGGAAGAAAAGCTCAATTTTGTTCCTTATAGATGCAAATTTTCTGGTGGAGGGTCCGTCAAATGCTTTTCCCCATGGAGATGTTATTGCTTTGTCTGGAATGTTTCACAGTCTGGAAGTAAACCTTTCTATCTTCATGGAGACTAAAGATGACCAGATCAAGTTACAGGTCAGATCTGTGGAGAGTAGGGCTGCTTGATTATGGAAAAAAAAAAAAAATCATTATCACAATTATTTTGGTCAATATTGAAATCACGATTATTCAAATTATTATTTTTTAGTTACACAATGCATTTATTCAGCATTTCTCTCTCAAAAAAACACTTTGTTGAAACATGTTGTTTTAAATAGTTAAGTTTGTTTAAATTGTTAAGCTTAAAATGTTGTTAAGCTGTCTATCAAGTTGTTTCAACTTGATATAAGTTTGGAGATCGCGATCAAAACTCACGATCAACAAATCGCGATCAAAACTGGATTAACTACACAGCCTTAGTGGAGCGACAACCGCATTCACAGTCAAAATGTCTGTTTTTCTATGTATTTTTGAGCTATAAAAAGACCTACGATTGAATAAATGTAAAGTAGAGTTGTTTAATGTCATACTGTGGAACCAGGCAGAGCAATGACATATCCACAGAAATAAGCAGGTGACCAACCCCCAACCTGAAGTAAAAGTACAGATACTGGAGCAAAGAACTACTCAAGTAAAAGTAAAACTGTCACATGAAAAAATGTCATGATTTTGTGATTTGTGCTGAATTTTGTGCAACAGAAACAACTGAATTGATTTCTAGCTGTTTTTATTTGTATATTTGTGTTTGCTCAAACTACAAACGTGTTAATTTTTTTCAGCAGGTCTCAGACAACAATGAAATATACTTTTACTTTGCAGTCCTGTTCAAAAATGTAGTAGAGTAGAAAGTACAGATACCTCCTCTCAAATGTAGTGAAGTACAAGTTAAAAGTATCAGTTTTAAAATGTACTAAAGTAAAGTACACAGGGTTCCCGCTCTTTTTCACTGACAAAATTTCAAAACTTTTCTATGAATTTTTCAGGACCAAAAGTGAATTTTCCATGACTTTACGGAGCCTACATATGTAGAATTTCACATACTTTTAGGGCTAAATATGAAATGTTAACCTTTTCCACTCACCTTATGGTTTGATGTTATAGTTTTTTAACATTCAAAATACTGTCAGTGCATTTATTGTCATCTCTTTTAAACAAAAGGCGCAGACGTTTGGAAATAATCACAATAGCCTAATGAGAATTTAACAGAACGCTGTAGTTGCGTGAAAGACATCCAAAAATTCCATGACTTTTCCAAAACTTTCACTGCATTTACAAAATGACATTTTCAATTTCCATGACTTCTCTAGGATTTCCATGACTGTGGGAACCCTAACTACAGATACCTACAATTTATACTTAATGCCAAATTGTAGAACAATCCAGGCAAAAAGTACAATCTCATTGGAGACGTGGGTGTGCCGTGTCCCTCCCTCACAAAAGCACTGGTGTTAAATAACTCACATTTATTCTTTATGATAATATCTCTTGATGGATGAACTCTATTGGTGTTTTGTGTTGGCCAACATTACAAATGACATTACAAAGGAGGTGCTAACATAACATCAGTCTTTGGAGCATCAACACAGCAGAGTAATTAGGCTTATTAATTATCATAACCAGATGCATTTATAAATATTTCATTTATAGATGAATGCTAATTGTCCTGAATAGTTTATGAAGCCTAAGTAGCATCTGTCATAGCTGAAGTGCCGAGAATATAAATAGGACGTATGGCTGCTTACCAAATTCTGCTGTGGCGTTGGAGACCCCGTCCTCGGGCCCGTCTGCTGGAGCTGTCTGGTCCTCAACATTTAGCCGGAGGTTAGAGGAGCTTTCACCGGACACGGCCACAGACTGTACAACAGACACTACCTCTGCATGGGGGCTTCAGCTCAGATTTGTCCTGAGGATTTCAAACAAGCAACAAGTTAAAGGCCCTGCACATGATTTGAATAGACTCTTGTCAAGATAAATCATGCATTCATTGTAATTGTATGGTAAAAGCTGCTGAATGAGAAAAATATTGAGAATATAAAAATAATACTGATTTTACATAGCACTTTCTCTGGTAATACCTAACCCAGGCGCTATTGGCAAGGTCACCTTTTTTCATCCAATCAGGCATATTGTTCCAAAGAATCATGGGATACCAACTATCTAACAGTGACCCAGACACTTGATTTTCTGTCATGGTGCATTTTTAAAAAGTTACTAAAAGCGAACAGTAGGCAGAGACTGGAGAACAATAAGAAAACCTGGAAAAGGAGACACAAGTTTTTGTGGTCAGATACATTTCTTCAGGTCTGGTCAGACAGCTGGTGGACACTGCCTTATCTCTGCCTGAAGGAGCAAAGTATGCAAACAACTGCAACAAACTATTCCAGACAGTAGTTTCTGTGTCATGGTGCAACATCACAGCAGCAGAAAGGATAAAGTGGAGCAGATAACATATTCTTAAAGATTCAAGAACCTACATTTATTAAGCATTGGGAACCTGTTTTGACTTTGTTAATGCAGTAGTAATGCAGTATAAAGAGTGGACATTTAATTATGTCACTATTACCCTATTGTTTGCTTGTTTCTTTCTTGTTACAAAGTTATATTGTAAAAAAAAAAATGACATGTTCGCATTGATTTAAATCACTGTATTATTGCTGAAAAAGAAAATAAAAATTAAGTTAAAAAAAAAAAAAATTATTAAAAAGGAAGGATGAAGTGGGCAGGGCTATGTGCTGTCAGTGGAAACCAGGAAGTACCAGGGTTGAAACTGCCTCCCCTATACCAGGGGTGTCAAACTCAGATTGACAGAGGCCAAAATTAAAAACTGGGACTAAGTTGTGGCCCAAACTAAATATTTATTGAAAAATTTCAACATCTGCATGTTTTCTCTTCTTTTGAGATATGTCATGTTAAACCTTTTTGTATTAAAATAACAGTTTGATAATAGTTTTGCTTAAACATTGAATCCAGAACAAGTATAATATAAAACAATAACAACATTTTAAATAAATAAATAATGTCTCTATAGTCTATCTGTAGTCAGCAGGCCAGCTCTAATACATATTTGATATGATCTCGCGGGCCAAATATATTGTGAGCCAAATTTGGCCCCCGGGCCTGAGGTTGACATGTCTGACCTATACGTTAAGGTAATGTTGATGATGTCATGCTGCTCCTCATGCTGCCAGAAGAGAGCGAAACACACCTAATCAAAGTGCTCTCATTAAAAGTAAAAATTCTGAAGGACAGTTTTTTTTAAATACAAGTATAATATTGAAGTATTAACTGAAGGTAAGTAGAAAACAAGGCAGAATATAGCAAAATATGTCCTCTTTAAATTGTAGTATCCACGTTTTGATTGTAAGTACCTTCTGAAGTTCATCTTGCAGCAAACTTTTTGAAATGCCTGGTTCACTGTCTTGAAATACGTCAGAATTACTGTCCTTGTGTTTCTCTGACTTGGTTGGAGTTTGAACAATCTCTTCAGGAAGTGATGGAAGATCTGAAATGCAATCAGTGCTGTAGAACCTGCTCCGAAAACTACAATTTAAACAAAAAAGTAAAATAATAATAATTTTGATTAAAAAGATGGCACATATGACCATGACTAGTAAAAAGCAGATAACATGACAAATCAGATAATGCAATAATTAGATCTGATTTCTGGAGTTTACATGCAACTGGTGACAAGGGTCAGTTAATCAGCTCATTTTTAGAGTATTTAGAAAGCAAAATATAATGAATTTTAAGATAAACACACAGCCAATGAGAAAGAACTCAGATTACTCAAATCAGAAGCAACTGTTTACATGACATTTCAAAATCTAAAAACTCCAGAAATCAGACAATGATTAGATTTTGTGCTCAAACTACCTGTGTGGGGAATGTGAGCGTTCTATCACAGGGACAGCAGAGCCCTCTAGTGTCCGATCAGAGCACTCCGGAAAAACTTCAGCACTTAAAGAGACTTGGCTCAGCTCCTCCTCGTCTCCTCCCTGATCGTCGATGAGAAGAGCAGATATCTGTTGCAGGGTCACGGTGGACTCGTAGGAGAAGGTCTGGTCTTTTCTTATGGGAGACAGAGAGGAAACAGAGGAGAAGGACACGTGTCGTCTGGTGGGGACAAGCGCTGGGGAGGTGCAGAAAGAGTGGCGATCTGGATTATCTGTGCTCTGTATGGAAGATTAGGAAGAAATGTAAATATTATAATGTTATCTGGTCATATTAGCTGTGCATACACCCCATAATAAACACTACAGGTCTTTAGCAAACAATCCTAAGGTGACAACAACTGGAACAATCAAAATTTTGGTGTATTATTTTCTGATCTATGTTATATTGTTTTTTCCTCATCAAAAACACACCTGAAGTTGTGTTTTGTTTCATTCACACATGTTTAACACACAAATCCTGCATATTTAGGCTGAGTTCTTCTCTCAAACTAAAAACAGTCTTGTTCCACCTTGTGATGCCATGTGGTAACAAGTGTTTTTAAACTCCATACACCTTCACTGCATTAATTTGGATAATTTCAGATCTGGAATTGCCAATCTCTACAGAACACAAAAGTAAAAGGAGCTGTGAACTTGAAAATTACAGCTTCATGACATCACTAGGTGGATTAAAGCATTTTCAGTTTTGGGGACTATAGTAATAATAAAGGATTACTCAAACATCTATGAGAGAAACAAAACATAAGTCTAGGTAGTTTGTAAAATCCCCCATCCGAGTAGAATCAGTGGCAAAGGAGAAGGTACAGATCTTAGCCAGAGAAAAGAATAGGTTTGAGAGGGGAGTTAAAGAGGCTATTTTTGTTAAGAAAGACAATCCATCCTTGAACAGAAATAGAGGGCTCAGACTGTCATCTGTCTCCAATCTACAACTCCATCCTCAACCCCAAATCAAAACAAAAAAAACAATAGGGATGGCCAGGTACGACTGCAATCAGTTTTGTATATAGATTTGTAAATAAATGTTAGTGTTGTGTATGTGTAAGTAATGAGAGTGTACGTCTGACCTGTACATTTTAATACTAATGTCGAATGAGTGTGTTTTACAGTGTATGAGTGAGAGATGTATGTGGGAGGTATTGTACACTTTTGTTATGTTTTATGAATTGTGCGGGTGATGTGGCTGGCATTGGTCCAGCAGGGAAATAAGGATGGAAATGAGCTTTGGCTACAATCCTGCATATTGCAAGTGCATGTTTTACTCTTACATTATCTTGTTTTTTAATATGCATTGTCCCTTTAATGAATAAATACAAAAAGAAATACAAATACAAAACTGTAAACAAGTAGGTGTGTTAGTTTCAGAGTAGTTTCAGTGTAGTTAGCTCCTCCCTGCAGACAGATATGAAGACCAGTGTCTACCAGCGTCTGACCAAAATTGAAGAAGCAGCTTGCATGAGCTGTGAAACATATTTGACCCAAAAAACATTTGTCCAGCTGACAAATTGAATTTCTCCTTTGCTATAAGTCTGGGTATATTTTTGAGAGGGTAACAAGATTCTAGCATGGCATAAAGCTCACAAGAGTCATTTTGTGTAACATAAGACCTTTAATAATTTTTGATAGGATTTTAGGATTATTTGAACACTATATTTACTAACTCTATAATTAGTGTGTAGTCTGAAGTAAAAGCCAAGCCCACGTAGCAAAGAATAATACATACATTACAGTCATCGGATCTGGGTTCCACTATGGATGGACTGGGGGAGCGGAGGTATTGAACCTCAGTGGACAGGAACACCTCTGAGCTCTCAGCCTTGGCCTCCTTCTGTTCACGCTGAGCCCAAGTGAACTCTCTATCAAAGGAGAACGCAGACTGAGAAAAGTGCGCTTATTTATCACATATCTGTTCTCTGTAATGCAGTACCTGAGCGTGCAAACAGGGGGCGATCTCAGTGCTGTGACAGACTGGATGAAGAGCCTGAGAAGCTGCTCAGAGGACAGCGCTCGCTCTCTCTGAGCTCGGTACAGAGCGGCTGACAGTGGACATGGAGCAGGGTCTGTGGAGCAGTTTACTTATGAAATCAGGTTAAACAATAATTTCCCAATCACTTATTTATGGACAATTTAATTTATCAAAGTGAACAAACAATGGGAACAGTAATAAAATATAATGTGTTTTATTTATTGTTTTATTTACAAGACAATTGACAAAGACATAAATAGTTTTCTTTGTCAACTGCACCTATCTAAGATTTTACACACCATTAAGAGCTCATATTACACTATTTTCTATTTCATAATGTTGTTCAATCATCAAAAACATACCCAAAGTTGTGTTTTCTTTCATTCACACATGTTCAACACACAAACCCTGCATATTTAGGTCTTCACTCAAACTGAAAGCATTCTGTTTCACATTATGATGTCATATAGGAAGTGTTGCACTGTGTTTTTAAACTCCATACACATTCACAAGAATAAATTGGATGATTTCAGCCCTGGGAGCGCAAATCATTTTGAGCTTTGTAGATGTTTATAGGCCAGCAATGCAGGATTACTCAAACATGTGTGAATGAAATTAAACATAATGTTTTTTATCAGGTAACAATATTCTAAAATGGCTTAAAGCTCACAAGAATCAATTTCACAGCATATAAGACCTTTAACTAATTAAAAAAGAATTAAACGACTACTATCTTTTATCAAATTTCAATAGTCCATACCTGTTAAATGCAATGAAGCAACTTCAATATAATTTTCACTTTGAACCTGAAAAAACAAAACAAACAAAAAAAAATTAGTCCAATGAGGTTCATTTGGTCTTCCGATAATTTATGTTATTAGGTTATTTTTTCAGACCAAGAGTTTGTTTTCATACCTGACAGTTTCAACTGCTCACTAGCGGTCTTCCTCAGAGTGGTCACGTGATGTTGCTGTGATGTGTCTGGTCATATAATTATACAGGTTGCCCACACATGCCCACAGGACTATAAACCAGGACAAGGGGGCATTTTTACTCTCACACACTTCAAATACTGTCCTGAGGAATTCGGACTGCAGATGGCGCTGTCGTCCTGCCTCGACGGGTAGAAAGACAGCGTCAAAACCTGTTTAAATTATCTGACCGGACACGTCACAGCAACATCACATGATCACTCTGAGGGAGACCGCTAGAGAGCAGTCGAAACTGTCAGGTATAAAAACAAACTCTTGGTCTGTTAAAAGAAACCAATAACATTTTAAAAAATCCCATTACATTTAGATGAGGGGCAAGCTTGTTAACAAAACCCAACTACAAAACATACTAAATGGCATTTCTTTAGTAGTGTAGTATATCTGGAGTGTACCTACTTTATACCCGGGGGGGATGTACTTGCTCGCCTCCGCTCTTAAACCAAATTCATTACAGGCCTTTAGAAAGTGCGCCACCATATCTCCATTTTCTGTGTTGTTTCTTTTCACCACAGTCCATGCTTCAGACACACAACTATAGGAAAAACAGGATATAAGGGGCACGGTTTAAGTTTTCTGGTAGAGGGTCAGCTGCCTACTGCCTCCAGGGGTGTTTTGTAGTAGGGCATAAACAAGATCTATCCACATGGGGACAGTTAAGAAATGCCACCAGGCCATAACATTTCCATAGAGACAAGTAGATGATGGACCATGGAAAAGTTACATAGTGGCCTTTTAAAGTCAAAGTTAGCTTTATTGTCAATTTCTTCATATGTACTAGACAAAGAAATCAAAATTACAGTGCAGTTAAAGTCAGATCAAGTATTAGCAGCAGTAATACAAGGCAGTTTCAGAGGGCTTTTAAAGAGGAGATTTTTACTTCTATGCAGTATTAATTGCTAACACATATATATTTAGATCACCATGTTACCTTTTATTGTTTGAAAATTCTTTATTTGCCAAGAATAATGTATTAACATGTAAATTTCACTTTTGTTTTTAACCATCTTCCACTCCCTTTGCTTTCTGTATTATCAATGCAATGTCCTGCCCTGTATCAATGCAGCAGAACTGTAAATATGTAAATAGTGTATGGAAGTGATGACTTAGACTGAATGGGACTAGTTTTACTTATTGATTGACTGGATCAGACATGTCAAACTTATGCCTGGGGGCCAAATTTGGCCCAGGATATAATTGTTTTTGGCAAGTGAGAACATATCAAATATGTATTAGAGCTGGCCCACTGGCTACAGACAGGCTATAGGGACATTATTTATTTAAAATTTTGCTATTATTTTTATATTATGTTTGTTCTAGATTCAGTGTTTAACATTATTTTAACATTATATATCTCAAAAGAAGAGAAAACATGCAGATGTTGTAAATAAATAAATAAATATTTAATTTGGCCCACGACTTATTTTCACAGTTTTTAATTTTGACCCTCTGTAAATTTGAGTTTGACACCCCTGGACTGGATGAATGATTGCATTAATATACTGTACATTGTATTCTATTTTATTGACATGTACGCCATTTATGTCATGAACCTGTCCAGGGACTGAAGGTGGAAATCTGCATTTTTTCTATAACCTGGCACAAACATATGACCTATATGTGTAGCTCAATGTTTTTATGTGCATTGTCCCAGATAAATAAATAAACTAAACTAAACTAAGTCACTTACCTTTCAGAGTTCTAGCATGACACAATTAGTTTTAGTGTATTGTTTTGTATCATGATTTGATTTTTGTGGGAGCATGTGTGGAGTTGACCTGTGGGTGGAGTATTGTACAGAATCTTACACCTCACCGTAAGGAGGGATCAAATAGGACCCAGGAGAGATCGCTAGATTACTTACATATGCAGATGACATCTAAAACATCTTCAGGCATGTTTTTGCCAAGGAAAAATCTGCATAATACCCCCTCTTTAATAAAAAAACAGTAGATTTGAAAATGTGTACCTGTTTTGCAACCACACATCTGCACTGAGCTTCGCATCTTCCACACTCTCCATGGCAGGGCTCGTCAAACACAAGTATCGTAAAGCCATCTGACGTTCTTTCCTCAACAGCAACGATTTGATGATGCAATGATGCTGCCATGAAAACTGGGGTAGAGCCGTCCTCGGGCTTAGCAACAGCTCCACAGCCGTCTACATGAATAAACAACAGATTTTAAGCAGCAATCGAGATGTCAGGTACCTAGAATACATTTTGGATCATTTTTCATAAGTGACATGATTAATTTAATAGTCAGATTTGAGTGCTTTCAACTTAATTTCGTCATCACTTTAAATACGCCATTACTGTCAACTCGGGAAAATTATACGCGCTACAAGTTGGCACTGATGAGAAAAGAGGCACTAAATTATGATATCAGAATTAGAATTTTAATACCTTGATTTGGCCGTGATCAAGCATCCAAAACGCTTTAATTTGCGATGAAAACATGTGAGGAATAGTGAATGAGTTGCAGAATGACTTAAAAAGATCATTTCGGCACTGTAAAACTTTGGTTATGTCCAAGATGAAGTACATGATCTGGGAGGAATCTTGGTTAAGTTAAATGTGTTAAATCAAACTGAATAGTCAAAGGTACTAGGAGCTTTAAGACATGTTAAAATGTTGTTACTTCTTCAAAAACATACCTGGAGTTGTGTTTTGTTTCATTCACACATGTTTGAGCAATCCTAGGCTATAGACTCGATTCACATTACGTCACAAACCAGGAAGTCGTTTGGAAATATGCGATGAAAACTTCTGGTGTAGTTACCGACACTGGACTCGCCGACCGACTGTGATAAAATCCACTGAAGTAAATGTGATCATCGGTAAAATGAAGTATGCATACATATGTGCTGTTTGGAATCATTTTGAATTTAGCGCCCTCATCTCTTCTAATCACATGTGAACAGAGCCCACCGGAAGCTGTCATTGCATGTTTTCAAAGGTGTTCCTGGTTTGTGACGTAAGCGTGATTAGAGCCTATTACTCTTAGCCAGGCTGACACCACCTAGTGCCTCCGCTCAATTTCATTTCTCTTCAGCGACTAGGTCAAAAATCAGAATACACTAGACAGTTTGCAAGAAACCCGGAAGTTGTAGACCGCGCACCGGCCAATCAGCGAAGAGCTGTGAAGCCATGACGTCAAACTCAAGTACTTGTCTGGGTCCCTTTTGTGGAACAGCACAACAGTAAACAAAGCGGTCGAGATGGATGTAGACGAACCCATACATTCTGTGTAGGCAATGATTCCCAAGATCGAAGATTTAAAGCCAGAACAAAGAGAATGTTTGGTGAATTTTATCAAAGGGAAAGACGTTATTGCCCTTCTTCCTACGGGATTTGGCGCATTACATACATCACGACCAAATAGCAGCGATTGGTTAAATAAAAAAAGTACCTGCCTACTGTCGAGGGAACGAATTCTAATGCTGGGGTCAGACGATTTCCACAAAGTGAAACCGGCTGATGAATCAGGTTATATTACTCTGTCTGCATCTCCTAAACTCAAAATGCTCTGTTCCACCTTGTCATGAAGTGGCAATTTTCAAGGTAGCCTTTTCAGAGTTGATTCCAGAGTTGAAATCAGATGATTTTAGTGAAGGTGTATGAGGCTTAAAAACACAGTGGAGCACTTCCTGTATTACCACATGACATCACAAGGTGGAACAGAGTGTTTTCAGTTTGAAATGTGAATGAAACAAAACACAACTTAAGGTTATGTTTCTGACGAGGAAACATAACATTGATCAAAAAATTATGTAATATTGGCCTTTTAATGTATTGAGAAAGCAGAGATGGGATGGATACAATGGCCTGGACAGACTGTGTCTCCACATGAGGGACTAACACCAGCTTCAGCAGGGCCTTCAGACTGGGAGGAGGGTAGCACTGCTGCCCACTGCTTTCAGGTGTCCACAGGCAGCCATGTTGTTTGACGAGATGGGTCACCAAGCCTTGGATGACCGTGCTGCATTCACTGTCCGCCAATCTGGTGGAAGATAAGAAGAAAAAAGAAGAAGGTTGAATTTGCTGTACCTGATTTATTTCATGTAATAAAATTAACAATGGTATAGATAAGTTAGATCACTGTGTTAGACCTCCATTTAATTATCTAAAGCAGTTTATCGTCTCCGAACCAGGAAGTGTGCTGTTAACATACTAGTTGTTGTTAGCTTTTTCACTATAAAGCTCCACTCTGGTCACTGAGCATTGTGAAAAGCGCTTACAAAGTCATCATGGTGGATAATGAGAATGTTAGGAATGCAAAAGGAATGTGAGAAATAATAAGTTTGGACTGTTGCACACTTTAAAAGGAACTAGTTCTGTTTTTTTTTTTTTTTTAAGACAATTAAAATAAGGCAAATTTACTTTAAAGTGTCCCAAAAAATTCTACAAAAACTACTGAACATTTTAAGTGTGTATTCATCTGGGAAGACTGCATTTCCTGTCTCTGTAAGCCAACCACCAGCCTGCACTTTCCCTCTCATCCAATCATTTCTCAAGCTATTCATATAAATTCACTCGCTGTCCCATTACAGCAGCAGAAATTTGAGCCTTTTCAGCTCTTCTTCTTCACCACCAATCCCAACCTAAAATGGCTCTTACCCAGATTTGTGATGACTCTGACTCATTTCTTTCCACATGTGAGAGATTTGTTTTTCCCCTTGCACCTCTGAAAAAACAAATACATTATAGGGAAAGCTTGTGTTTTCACTGCAGTTTGTTTTTACCGGAGCGCTTGGGTAAAAGTCCCATGAGGCTCCACCACTCCACCAGACGACCAAGCCACAGGTGCTGTTTCAAATCTCTGTGTTCTCGAATCCAGGAGCGACGCCTCGCATTTGAGGAAGTGTCTTTGTAACCTACACAAGAAATAAAAAATAGACTAACTACATTCAGTCCAGGTCTGTCAAAATATACAAAATCAGATGCTAATCAATACTAAAACTAGTATCAAAACTAGATAATCATTTGAGCAAATATCAATACTAAAAGAAAGGCACATTCACAGGACAGAATTTTTTTGTTTTGTTTTAGAATGATCTTGAGAAGTAGTGGAAGAAATATAAGACCACATAGACTAGTTTATGTCCATGGACAACCAGACGATTAACTGATTAGTCCAAGATTTAAGTATTTTTATCTTAAATTTTGGCCAAGTTTTTTTGCAGTTTATAATCCACAGTTGTGTACCATGGCAGTAGAGTCCAGGATGGAGCTTCCTTCTCGCCCACTGAACCAGCGTGAGCAGGTTCCTGAGCTTGAGCAGCAGGTGGTGGACTCTGCGAAAGGAGTAATGGTTCAAGAACATCCACAGACCCTGGCAGCGGCTAAAGCCTGTAATAACATAACCAGTCTTACACACATAAAGTAAACATATATGGTGTGTTTTTAGGTTCTCCTACACAGGCTCAGTAGCTCCTTCTTTGTAAACTCTGAGGTCCTCTGCAACCAGCAGGAAAAGGAGGACAGGGTTTCATCCACGTCAGCTTTATCTGTCAAAAGACAACAAAGAATGACCATTTTAGCAGAGGTGGATGGATTTTTTTTATATTTACACAGTTCATTTACTTGTACTTACTTGTATTTTCTGTATTGTATGTACTGTAATGTATTTACTTAAACTGTACTTGTAAAATTGAAAACGTTTGTACTTGTAAAATACATTCTGTACTTAATAAATTGTATGTTTTAATTATTTTTACATTTATTAAATAAATACATTGTAAATAAATAAACACATTGTAAAAAATAAGTAAATAAATACATTGTAAATAAAATAAATAGTACAATTTAATAAATAAATTGTACTTAATACATTTTGTAAAATAAAATACATTTTGCACTTGTAGAATTGAAATTGCAAATTGTACAGGGCACTTTTCTAGAAGCATACATTTACTCCTGCTTGAGAAATATTTTTATTGAAGTAACAGTACTCATACAGTTTTGGTTTACAAGTCTGCAAGTAACAAACTCAAACTATGTTGACAATATGAAATGATTGAAACCTTTGTGTTTCTTGCAGCGCTACTTCAGATATGATTTAGTTTGTCTCATTTTTGTGTGTATCCTTTGAAAATACCACATTTGTAACGTTTTGTCCTTCAGATTACATACTCTTTGAATTATAAATCAGATGTTACGTCATAGCAGGTACTCTTTAAATTACCATTACTTGAGCAGTACTTCTTGCCAAAAAAAAAATTCTACTTGAGTAATATTTTTTTGTAGTAATGCTCTTACTTGAGTGCAAACTTGGCTTCTCTATCCATCTCTGCATTTAGTATTATTTTTATAAAGTTGAACACGTTTATCTTACAGTACCATCCTCTGTGATCTTCCTCAGCCCGTGAATGATGCTCATGATGTTGTTAGCAGCCAGCAGGTCTGTCCACTGGCCTTCCAAATCCAACATCATCTTCTTTCACCGCACAGCTCCAGACGGCCTGAAAAATTCATAATAACACCACTTAAAGCACATGAGAAGGTTTTCATGTTTTTCTAATTATCTGGTGAGAACCTGTGCTAAATATTAACAATTGTATTACAATCGTAGTAAAAGAAACTACAACTTGGATTCAATTTTCTTTTGCTATTGCCATGGAGACAAGCTCATGGAAAGCAGAACCGCCTCCAGAAAAGTTACATAGTCCAGCTTTAGGTTTCGTCAGTATTATCAGATCAGTGTGTCTTGTGCAACAGATTTGTACGTTTGGAAATTGTTGTACGGTACTTTGAGAAACCATGGCAGAAAATTCAACTACTCTAATCAGTTCTTACCTACAGAGTTGCAATCGCTCGGTCATTCAAGTTGAACCTGAGGCCTTCTTCTCGCCGTCGTCTGTGTGGATTTGCTGAGTGACCCAGTAAACACACGAAGCGCTCTCTTCTTTCACAAGCTACTTTAGACCATGTTAATCCACTAATCTCACTCTCGGTTAACATTTCATTGGTTGATTGGCTGTACGCTGTGTTTCTACGTAGACTCATGATGCAAAAAATAAGGTGAGGAGTTTAAAGTAACCCAGAAGAGAAACATAGATGGTGGTAGGTTTAATATGAGCCACTTAACGCAAAGGAAAATACCTGCTGCTCTGTGTCTGGCTTAGGGTTTTCTCAGTCCACAATGTTATTTTTGCTGTAAAGGTGCACTGTGAAACTTTTTGGTTAGAGGTCCATTACTTCTTGCTTTGAACTACAGTGAAAAAAGCAAGAAAAATGATCTGACAAAGCTTTTTTGCTGAAACATTATTTAAAAATTAAAAAAAACACGCTTTTGGACATCGGCCATCTGAGTGTGCTATGCATTTTTTCAGTTTTATTGTATTTAATGTGTTAATTTATAGACTTTGTGTTGGTAAAATGTGCTGTACAAATAAAGCTGGACTGGATTGAACATCTGTTTTAAAAAAAATATATTGTTGTAATTAAGATTATACAATAATTTAAATTTGTCTTAATTTGTATAATTGATTAAACAAGTTTTAACACAGGTTTAACCAATAATTGAGGTATAGTAAATTCAGATATCTATTTTTGAAGAAACTAAGACAAAATAAGTGCATAATTTTAGTAAAGTTGTCAAAGGTATCGAAAAGCAGATACTAATTGATTCTAAAACTAATAACGAAGCTAGATAGAGCAAGTATGGGAAAAAAATCATATTAACAGAACAACATTTGAGCTTTCTTGAACAGAATACTATTAACTATTATTAGAACAGTTTTTTTGTTTTTTTTTTTAACATACATATACATACAAAATACATACACTGACGTCATGTAAGGTCCTAGGTTAGTCAAGTTTTTAGTCACAGTTTTCACAATTGTGTCAAATCACACTTATATTTAATTTACACTGTAATTTCCCATTTAGGATATTACATTTTGTATATTATGCAAGAATAAGGGTGAAAAAAAAAATCAATATATAGCTCATTTCCAGTCACACTAGAACAAAAATGTAATTCCCTATAGCCTCTACACACAGTTTAAATGTGTTAAAATCATCCATAAAGTCAAACTAACTTTTGATTTCAGCTCCACATTAATAAAAACACCAGGGACAATGCTGAGGCTTCCTTGGACAGCATAAGGTGGGCCTAAATCCCTGCATGGGCCTGGCCAGATTAATGATTAGGGCGGATTAGGAGGAGGGTCAGGATTGGGATACTATACAGTCTCGAGTCTCACTCCAATGCTCCAATGTGCTCACAGCTACTCTAAAAGCACATGTGTTTTGTAAATGGAGACTGAATTTTAACCAGAGAACAAGAAAAGTGAACGGACATGACCCTATTTCCAAGAAGGCCACTTAAAGGTACGTAAACGCAGTATTGGTAATGTTATACTGTTATGCTCTTATTTAAAGCTGCACTATGTAATTTTACTGTTGGATTGTCTCCATGGAGAGATCCCACAGAGACAGGCATTAAATGTGTCTATGTAACTAGACAAGCAGGTTAAGTTACAGGTCAGATCTGTGCAGAGGTGACCGTACTCACAGTAAAAAAGCTAAATTTTTCAAGATATTTTGTGCTATTAAAACTTAGACTTAGACTTAAACAAACTTTACTGATCTAAAAGTGAAATTATTTGGGCACAGTAGCTCATTTATCATAATATAATAACAAAGACTAAAAACATATATTGTAATAATAAATTCTAAATAAGCAGCAAAAAAGAGAAAGAGACGGGTGTTAAAGAAGGTATAATTAAATAAATGTATATCTACAAGTCAAAATAAAATAGAAAAATAAGTAATAAAATATAAAATCTCCGCAAACAATTTAATAAATGCAAAATAGTTCTATATAATTCTTTACTCTGGGACATTTCAGGTAAAGCTAAGTCTCCATAGAAACACTCCTTTTCGAGAAATGTGCTTTTCTGTTGTTTACAATATGTATGTAGTATGTATATGATTATTTTTCTTGGTCCAAACGTGAAATAAAAACAAATAAATTGATCAAAAAGAAGCAGGTGACAGACCCTCCATCAGAAATGTTACACAATGTACCTTATCCTTCCACGTATTATGAGAAAAAAGTGTGAACTGTTAAGGAAAATTATAAAAGTGTTGAATGTGGAATACAACCAGATTATGTGATGCAAAAATTTGTGTTTTTTCGTTTTCTTTCCAGGCCAGAAAACAAAATGGACGAATGAAGTCACTCCATATCATATCATATTCATAATGTCGACAATGGGCTAAGCTTCTTAACACTTATGTATAGAGAATCGTACTACCAACCCCCCTGTTTCTCGCCCCCCCACTTGTGTACGGAAGGATAACCTGCTTTGCTCACCTCCTTCACCTATGTCCCACTTATAATCGCTCTCCGGATTTAAAAGGCAATGGCTGTTTTGCCCGTGAAATTCACCAAAACCAAACGGGACAAACTCGCCCAAGTGCTATGGATTCTCAATTGGATATCAGTAATAACGGGAGCTATCCTTTTCAGCCTGGGCCTTTTCCTTAAAGTGGAGATTAACAAGAGGAAAGAGCTGATGGCCGAGAGAGACATTCAGTATGTCCCAAATATGCTCATAGCTGTCGGACTCATCGCTTGCGCCATCAACTTCTTGGGTGGGAAAATTTGCTACGACTGCGTGGACACAACCAAATTCCTACGATGGAAGCTGATCATGCTCCCCTACATCGTTTGCACGTTTTTCTTTACCTCCTGCATCCTGGTGGGGGCGCTGATGTGCTACAGCATGCGGGGGGAGCTGGAGGAGTCTCTGGACCTTGGATTGTCAGCGGCGTTGAAGTTCTACAAGGATACAGACACGCCCGGGCGGTGCTTCCTGAAGAGGACTGTGGACTTGCTGCAGATAGAGTTTCACTGCTGTGGGAATAACGGGTACAAGGACTGGTTTCAAATCCAGTGGATCAGCAACCGCTACCTGGACATGTCCAGCAAGGAGGTGGTGGAGTAAGTCCTCGTGCATTTTGGGAGTTGTGGTCAAACTGAAAAATGTAGATTAAAAAAATAGTAGTTAGTTCATGGCTAAAAAGTAATATTTGCCCTCTTTACTTGGGCACTCTAGGCCCTAATTTACCCACACTTCAATCACTTATTCCAACATTATACCACACAAACTCTAGGACAGCACGGAGAAGTGTTTTCCCCAAGAACACAGAAAAAATCGTTGCTATTTCAGGGAAAACAAGGCTCTATTCATAAAAGTCAATTTGGAATATTTTAGGCCTCAGATACTGCTGCTTAACTGCATAGTGAAGTGTTCTATTTTGCTTGATCACAACGTACATCTTGCACCTTTTTTTTCTATAGTAGTGCACAGCCCGAAGAAGACTTACAGATTTCAAGTGTAGCCAGCGATAACTTTAGAAGTTGTCACTGGCTACACTACACTTCTTCGTGATGTCATGTGACCTGTGATGTCATTTTACGTGTAATGTCATGTGACCCTTGATGTCATTTGACCCATAATGTCATTTTACCCGTAATGTCATTTGACCTGTGATTGATGTCATGAGCCCAGTGATGTCATTTAACCATTTTTTTGTCCTAACAACATGAAACTTAGTGAAACTTGACACACTCATACCTTTAGGATGACACCCTCCGAATTTGAGATCAGTCGGATGAGTAATTCGAGAGTTATGCATAGAACAGACAAACAAACAAACAAACAAACCAAACAAACAAACACACACAGACAGACGTTCTTGGCATTAATAGACAGATGGACTGACTAAGACTAACTTCTGGATGTGATTAAAATAGTTTTATATATTATTTGAATTGTAATGTCACGTTTAAAATGTTCAAGATGTAGGTTAATGTGTGGCTCCGCTTTCCCAGTTAGGCCCCTAAACCTACCCAAAATAGTGGAAATAGGCTTTTGTGTATGTTATAATAAACACAGTTCATTTGTGTTGAGTTTTGTCAGTAAATAAAGGCAACACGGGCCAAACCGTAACACAACAGGCTGCCAGCTCAGGTTATGTCAAATAGGGCATGGCCTTGTGGTGCTTTGTGTCTTTTACCCATGAACCCTCTTCTCTTCTTGTGTAGCCGCTTCAGGAGCAACGTGGAGGGGAAGTACCTGCGGGACGGCGTGCCCTTCAGCTGCTGTAACGTGAACTCTCCGCGGCCGTGCATCCAGAGCCAGATCAGCAACAACTCCGCGCACTTCAACTACGACCATGTGACCGAGCAACTCAACCTGTGGCCCCGCGGCTGCAGACAGGCGCTGCTCGACCACTACACGCACATCATGCAGTCCATCGGCCTCACCGTGCTCGTCATCTGGGTGTTTGAGGTGAGGGTTAGGGCGAGGCTGTCAAGGGCAGTGACTTAAAGTGCGCTGTGTAACTCTGGCGGTGCTTTTTCAGTTAAAGTTTTTTTGTTTGTTCTAATCTAGGGCACCTTTGCATTCATGTTTTTTTTTTTTTAATGATTAATATTATGGAAAACGCTGTCATTTAAAAGCAAGGAGTAAGTGTTTGGCGCCCTCTGCTGGAAAGAGTGGGGAGTGAGGCTTTTTGAAAAGGCACAATAGCAGCATTGGTACATCACACTGGTAAATAAGACGTATGTAGATAATAAGATACGTGTGAATGAAACAAAAAAAAACTGTATTTCGGGTCCATACCAAGGGTTGTCTCAAATCAACTCTAAACCCCAGAATGGCATTGCCTTGTTACAATAAAAACACATTACGTTGTTACAATAAATGAAAATTGCAGAATAAAAAAGAGGTATATTTTGGAAATTGCAAAACATTTTTAATAATTGAGTAATGTCTAATAGAACGTATTCATCTTGTAGCTTTCTGTGCTGACCGGAGTGCGGTACCTCCAGACAGCTCTGGAGAACGTGCTGAGGCAGGGGGACCCGGAATCAGAGTCTGATGGCTGGCTTCTGGAGAACAGCTTCATGGAGACAGCTCGCTCCAACCTGAACATCATCAAGAACCTGGGCAAGTGCAACCAGGTTGACACGGCTAACAACGGAGACCCCAACATCAACGTGCCCTGTACTTCCAAAGCAACCTACGGCCCGGACAATGTACCACTACAACAACCAGCTGTGACCAGCTGACCACTGTAAATTTGAGACGCATCTATTTATTTCAATTTATTTGTCTACATTTATGATAAGAAATTCAACATAAGACATGTCCTGCTGATAGATTAGTTGACTAAAAAGGGGGTGTGGCAAAAGCTCTCAAAACTATTACTTATCTCTCTGTATCTGAACCAAACTGCACTCAGGACTGCACCTGCACGGGAGTTCATGCAAAAACACCTAGTTATATAAATAAAATGCATTTATGTAAAAAGGTAAAGTAACTCAAATTTCAGTCCCAAATCTTCAGCTAACTCACCCAATATATTCTCCTTTATGCTGCTGTCCCATATAAATATTTATAAGCTAAATAAAAGAATTAGTTGAAATGAGTAGAATCGACTAAAGCCTACAGCCCTAAAAGAAACATCATTATCAATTACAATTTGGCAATGTGCGGTTTAATACATAACAATGCCTTTTATTCAAACGGCTACCTGACCTTAGTTAACATCGCATCAAATGAATACTGTAATATCTATACTGTTTACAAACGTACTTTGTGTTAAAGCGCTGTTGGCTGTGGTTACATGAGAACAGGCAGGAGGAATGTGCCCTTTTTATCCGCCTTCTCTACATTCTAAAATGTGTTTGTATTATAGTGTTGGCAGTCATTTTTCATGCCAAGTTTGTAAACTAACATTGTTTTGAGAATACTTCCACAAACTGGAGACGTAAGAGGGAGCTGTGTATAGGTTTAGGTCTTTATTATTTTTCAGTTGCCTGGAAGTCATGACATGTTTGCAATTATGACGAAAACAAAACTCCAATGCTTGGAAAAAAGAAAGATTTGTGTGCAATCGTCAGCTTTTTACGTAAATAAATAAACTGACCAGAAGTGGAATAACCGAGTTATAATTGAGTTAATGCGTCCATACACCATGATCAAATCATAACAACAAGTGCTTCCCAATAATACATGCTGATGATACAGAGGTAAAGCACATCTCAACGTGTGATAGAAAGAATACATTAGCCTGGTCTCCAAGGATCAATAATAACCATGTGGTTACAGTACAGATTTCAGCCAAAATGGCACTTAATTCTGAAGCTCTTGAAAAATATTTCCAAACCTTTAACTGGCTTGCTATAAGCATTTATATAATAGAATTAACGTATGCTATTGCTCAAATCTGAATCAATTGTAACAGGCTAAAGCAGCAATAAATCTTTCAAAATGTAACATCAATTAACTTATAATATGACAAATCATATTTTCAAACATGGAGGACAATGCAGGAGATTCACAGCATCACGAAATACCAGAGATCAGAAAACAGGAACTGAAGGATGGGCGTGTATAATGCAGGTCTATATTTGAATGAGCCTCTTTGCAGAAAAGCTTTTTTAAAAAGGCAACTTGGGTTACCCTCCATTACTGCTGGGTCCTCCTCTGTCCAGCCTGATGTCTGGACCTCCTCTGGGGCAGATGGGGGCGGGTGCCTGGCCCTGTCTGACAGGAGCAGGGCTGTTGATTGGTGGTGTGTGTGTGCATCAGTGCATGTGCTCTGCAGCACTGGAGCAGCCTGTGCTCTATGGCTGTGGGACTCCTTTCTCCACATCAGTGGGACTCATCACAACATCTGCCACTCAAAAGCAAACATGACATTCACCACCTCCAGGCTGCGGGCGATCTCCTCCAGGATACAGTGCTGCTGCCACAGCTGCTTCAGCTTTTTATAGCGCTCTGGGCACAGGTGCAATGGGTTGCCTCTCCTACAAATACATTTTGTTTTTGAAAAAATGCCAACTGCAACTTGAGAAAGATTAAATAAATAATGTTTAAAAGAAATCTTACATAAGGTGAGGATCGGTCTCCCCATAGTCATCCAGATATGGCGCAGGATATGTGCTTCCTCTTGTTTTACTGGCCCTCAGGACAATTTCACATTCTCTTATTCTGCCAAAGGAATATCAGCAAAAATCAATACAGAGTAGGTTCACTTTCAAGAATCTGAGGTCTAAATTTGAATGGAGGGTGGGCCAAAATACAGTTGTGGGAGGCATGCAATTCTTGAACATTTGTACAAAATTATGCTGGCGATGATCAAATGTCTTTTACTGAACCATAGTGACTAAAATATTCTACATTTATTTGAATTTATTTGAAGGTGGATAGGCAAATAAAAACAGCATTTTGATCATTTAAAATACATATATTTTTTAAAGTTTGACTTACCCTTTCAGCTCCATTTTAAAATCTGAAAATGTTTTGATGTCACATGAACCCAACCCATTAGTATTCAGAGTTTAACCCACCTGAGAAACATGCCCACCCCAGCCCCACAGGTGGCAGCGTGGGCAGTGCAGGCTCCCACATCCTCTCCATCCATCTGACTCAAGCAGCAGGAGCTGAGGGAGCACAGCATGGCCCCACAGCACAGGCACAGGGTGGGGTGCTTCCTCTCGTCGTCCGTGGACTTTGGACATCTGACAACCAATAAATACTTAATACACATGACTAACGAGGAGCATTTCAAATTAAAAAAGGTCTCACTGAAAATGGCTGGCTTGGTTGAGGAGAGCGCTGTAATCATCAGGCAGGTCAATCAAACGATTTCTTCTCCTTGGGTATCTGCAGAATAATTGATAAATAAATTTAATAAATACATTGATATAATATATTGTAGAAAAAGAAAATATGCTTTGATTAAACGCTTTACCTCACTGTTTGTAGTTTGCCTTTTAGAGCTTTGGAAACAACAGGGCTCTCACTCCACCTAATGAATATATACAGTACAAACTTTAAAGTCCCACCATGTAATGTTTTAGCCAAAAAAAAAAACTAACTAAAACAGCTGAACCATCACCTAGAAGAGGGCCTACACATGTCTGTTGCCATTGAAAAAATATTGATTTAATAAAATGTCCCATCTTATAGCATAAAAACATAAAAATCTCCATGAATATAAAAAATCTTCTAAGTATGGTTTGAAATGTTTATTTCCATCCAGTTTAACGTGCCATAAAAAGTTACCCAATGTTGCTTTAATATTGTTTGTAGTGCAATATTTCCATTTTTGAAGCACCTTCTGTGTTACTGTGCTCTGTAAACAGAGAGTGCTGTGTAGCTATTCAGTTGCATTTGTGTGTTTCCAGTCTGTACTGCATTAAACAAAAAGAAAGATTTACCAGTGTTGTTAACCAGTATTGTTCTGACTTACCTCTGGAGCAGTGGCATGACAGTGTCTCGATGCTCCTGAAACAGCTGGAACACATTGGAGGGTAGTGCCAGGTAACTGCACAGTGGCTCCAATTGTCCCTGAGATGTAACTGTTCAAATAATACAGCATGGTTAAAGGGACGATTTTTATTTTCTGATCTATGTTATAAATAAGTTGTTTCCTCGTGACAAACATAAATGGGTTTTGTTTCATTCACACATGTTTAACACACAAAACCTGCATATTTAAGATGAGTTCTTCTCTCAAACTAAAAACTTGAGAAAACAAAACTCCATGTATGTTTTTTGTAATAACATTCTAACATGGCTTAAAGAGACCTTTACACCTACCTGCAGTTGTAAAGAGCTCCTCTGGCGGGTGCACTCCCGTAAGGCAGTTAAAGAAGAGCGCAGCACATCTCAGGAAAGGCTCGATCCCTCTTTTGATTCGCTCAGCCACAGCACTGCCGGACACCTCGGACACTGGTCTGAAGAACAAATCAACAAAAATAACAGAATAACAACGAATAATGGACTAATGATTGTACTAATAAGAAACGTCATACCTTTTGGTGTATTGTGACACCATAGAGTACCACTCTGCTGCTGCTTTAGCCTCCTCTGTATCATCTTCACCAGCCACAGCGGGGAAATCTGTGAAGTAAAACCACTGTGTGAGCATGGCGATGTTTACATGTGCAGTTATCAGATTATTCAAATGTCATGTAAACAGTTGCATCTGATCGGAGGAATTGGAGTTCAACATTCAATAGGAAAATTATCCAAAAATATGAAACTCATGAGACAAAGTTTGAAGTTATTTTAAAATGTATTGTATTTTTTCTTACAAATACAAAGTTTGCTGATTCTATTGATTGAATTCATTGATTAACTGACAAATGTTTTTATGATCAGATTTCTTTTGTGCATGTAAACACATACAAAAACCAGTTATCTGATTTCGACTTTAAATGTACCCAGTGTGTAAGTACCTGTGGAAATGAAGAGGACCTGCAGCATGTGGGCCATAGTCACCAGGTGGAGGATGTACAGGTGGTTATAGGCTGAGCTCACAGCAGAGGGCTGCAAGTCTACGGTCTCCTCCTGATACAGGGAGGGCACAGACAGCACCAGGCCCACCTAATGACATCAAATACAGATCATTATCATAACTGGAAGCTATAACTTTCACTCGTGATCCAAAACCTGAAATTAGAAACTTACTAAAAGATGGAAGAAGTCCACCTCCACAATTGAGGGTGTGTTTCTGCTCATGGCTGGAAGCAACACTGTAATACATCACACATTAGAAAAGGTTTTAAAATGACATTAACCTCTTGTAACCTCCTGCAATGATTATGCTTACCTCCTAACATGTCCGCAAAGTGCCTCTGGATCACAGCCTGAGAGCTCTTTATCCTCTGAGTAGCAGCAAACTGCACAATGGCCTTTAGACCCGCCAACTATTTAAAGAAAATATAATGTGCTTTTGTCAGCTATGTTGATTTTAATCTATGACACAAGTGGATCATTATTTCATATTTTGAGTGTACAGGGATGGGGAAAAGGAGGAATTTTCTGAACAATGGCATCTTGAATGGAGAAGAATAAAGATTACTCAAACATGCAACTTTGATTGGGTAAATGAGAAGGGAAAACAATTATAATATACCAAAGTTGTTATTTAAACAGACTCAATGTACAGTTCATTACAGTAACTGTTGAGTAATCAAGCCTCTTGCCTGGCGGTTTTGTAATGACCCAAACAGTGGCTTGCCCTCTTCTTGCAAAATATTCTCTGAAAAAAGACAAAACAAAAGAAACTCATGTTCACTTTTCCCAAGCAGACACATATGTTCTGTAAAGAGTTGTAAGTGGTACCTATGGCTTGGATAGTGAAGGCACAGGTGTTCCAGGTCATCAGGGGCACACGTGGACACAGCTCGTTGGGTGGGGTCTGCAGTCCAACTCTGTACACCGTGGTGGCACACACTACGATCATATCGCTGATGCTGTCTGAAAACCTCCTCCTAGAAGTCAACACAAATCCATTTAATATAGTGCACGTCTGAGAGTGAAGAAACTGACTGGGCAACGTACGGCTCCTGGACTCCATAGCTCAGAATAGATCTAAAATCAGGTTGGACCTCTCCACTGAAGCCTCTGTCCTCATCAGGGCTTTTATTATCTGTGCATATAATAACATACAGTGTGAGGAGACTTGTTATACAAAGAAAAAAAAACTATGTTCACTTACCATTATCCTGAGTGACAGACTTGAGTCCATTAACCCTGGCTCCTATGACTTGGATCCAGCGTGGCATTGTTAAATGTTGTCCAATTAACTCTGCATTTTCACTACACAAGAGACAAGCATTAAAGCCACTATAATCGTCATATGAAACATGGAAACATGCTGTGTGGACATACTAGTTGAATGTGAGCTGTTCCAGTGGGATGAGAGGGACTACAGTGTTACACAGAGACTTGCAGAGTGGACATAGGTATTCTCCATTCTCCAGGTCAAAAATCAGCTCTGCGTGTAGCCTGTTCCTCGTCGTGTTCTGCACCGCTTCAAAATATCTGAACAAAGTATATTATATATAAGTACATAATTATACCAGTTTACGAATCAACCCTTTAATAAACTGTTATATGTCTTGCAGTTACTTACTTCTGCCAGCATGTGGCGTGCATGACATGTCCACAGCTGCCGGTGTGAGTCCCCACTGCCAATTCAGGAGGCATTAAGAGTGGATAGGATGATCCATCTACAAAACCAGATATCATGTCAGATGTGAGCCACTGTATTAATTTATTATTTTACTAGGGTGAAAGTGAAAGCTCACTAACCATCTGTTGTCTGGGCTGCGGGGAGCTTGCCTCTGCACTGGGTGAGCACAGTGGACCTCTGCACACAGGCGGTCAGGACCATGGCTGGAGCCTGGGTGGTCACCTCCTGCTCCTCCTGACACAGGATACATGTCAGCACCTCCCTCTCCGCTGGGGTGGGCCCTCGATGGGGCCCGATGGCTACACAGAGCTCCATCTGATTGTTTGTAGAGCTTTATGAAAATAGACATGATATTTTTAGTTGGAACATTATATCATACATTATAAACTAATAAGTCTCCATGGACCTTGTATAATACATCAATTGGAAATCTAGCAATAGTCTTTAGCCTAAAACTTAAATGTCTAGATACAAGCTGGGAAGAAAAACTAGATAACAGCCAGCATCCACCATGAAACATCAACAGAAATTACCTTTCACTAGCAGTAACAGGCTCCCCCTGTAGGCCACTCTCGGGCATATTGTCATAGAGCATTTTGTTTGATTCAATGAAGTTTTTCTGCATCGCTGACATCTGGGCCATTATCTTCTGTCGGTGGAGTTTAGCAGCCTCAGCCTTCCTCTTCCTTTCAGCTTTCTCTTTGTCTTGAACACTCTGAAACAAAATATAAAAACTTAAAATGTAACTCTATTTTCTTACAAATGATTATTTTATAAGTAGCTCTACAAATGCTTCCTTTACCTCCTCAGGTTTAGCTGTCTCCACACTCATGGAAGCTGCCGGACTGGACTTTTCCCGAAGACACTTGACAATTTCAAACATCTGATAGGAAAACCATTTTTAAAAATTAATGCAGAATTGAAAAACTATAATGCTTCATTTTCATTTGTGAGCTTCCCACCTGTAACAACCATTTGATCATGTCCTTTTGCGCTTCGAGAGAGGGCACCGATTTAATCTTTGACAGCAATAGAAACACTGATTTGTCATGTTCTGAACCTATAACTAGAATAGAACAACAAACAAAAATATTTAGGTTAAAACATCCTGTATAAGCCTATATTTTGCTGTAACTCTAATGTTAAAGCCACTCACTGCGAGCCTTTAAACTGAAATCAAAGGTTACTTCTTCCACTGTGCTGTCTTCAAGCTGGGTCTTCTCTTCCAGCAAAGCCTGTCCTATGAGGTGCAGTGCCTACAAGCATTTTCAAAGTCAGTATAGCAATTACAAAGTAGAATTTCTGTTGCATTTTTAATATAAGTTCCAATTCACCCTCTGGATCATGGCCTCGGTCCAGTGGGTGGTCTTCTCCTCCGCGGCCTTTTGCAGAACTCGTCTGAGGATGTGGATGATGATGTCGCAGCAGAGCAGGCGCACCACACTGGCAAAGTCCGGGCAGAAGGCGGGGGGCAAAGGGGGGCGGAGAGCTGGGGATACAGACAGTAAGCAATTCATAAACTCTTGTGTACAGAATGAAAATACAACGCAAAAGGCAAAATGACCATCTGGGTCAAAACTGAAGTGTATGCACAGATTTATGCCAGCAAAAAAAAACTAATTTGTAGTAGGCTCTAAAACAGATCTGGGCATTGTACTTTACACATATTTTATCATTTTACCTCATGCATGGATTAAAACTGTATTGCTTTTGTTTTTTTAAACGATATTTTTTGAAAGGCAACCTAATTTTTTCATTGCTTAGTCATAACATACACTCTTATCAGTCTTACCAGCTCATCAAAACAATGCCATTTACTGCTTTTTTTAAAATAAAGAAATACAAATATTAATCAGAATTTAGTTTTCTGTTTCTCATGTGGCCCTTTCCAAAAAATTATTGCCCACCCCGCTCTAAAAGGTGGAATAAACTTGGTAAACTTAGTAACTTGGTATAAACTGTAATGCTATACACTGATTTTTGGTAATTGTAAGTCAAATAAAGAAATTATTAATTTAGTACAAATGATGGATAATTTAAACATAAAACATAATCTTAAAATTAATTTAAAAATATTTTTAGCTGTTTCATTTATTTATTTATTTAAAAGTTCAGAATCTGTGCATTTTTCAACAAGATATTTTTATTTTATTTTCAATCACCCAAATGGTAACTCACCTTTATCACTACCCTCTTGGGCTCTCCTTTTCTTCTGAGACTCTTCAGCCTGAAAGTGAAAAAACATATCATAAATAAGTGATTGTTTAATGATGTCTGTTGTTTAATAATATAAACTGATTTTATGTATCCAGACAGACATTACCTTGCTGTGCTGTGATCGTGAATAATGGTAGAAGAATGGGTTAAACTCTTCCAGACGCTCCTTTTTAACTTCATACAAGCCATGACCTGACACCCCTGGTTTTCTGAAAGAGCATCAAGATAAAATAAAGTACAATTCGATAAACACACAAAAAGTTAAGAATATTGTGTGCATACTTGAAGGTAGCAACTTTGGTAATAACACTCTCCAGTCCTGTTTCGTGGCTCTCCTAAAACATAAATCAGATAAGAGGTTATTCTCTCTGCCCACATGTATTGACAGAGTGCTTTAGAAGTGATTCATACATTTTCTGGAAGGCCTTTGACCAGACTGCTGTGGGCCATAGGCTCGATGCATAGCAGGTGGATGACCTCCCTCATGGTCACGTCTTCTTTGGTGACATGGCTAATCCCAGGAATATAGCGTTCACCTGGACAGAAGTGGTCACTGATATAGTATGATACGTTTAGTGGTGTTCTACGTAACTTTTCATATGGGGTGATCATCTGTTGGCTTTGACTGGAATGTTCCTACCAAGAATTTATTCAATTACGGCTGTTTCTATTACTCAAAAAAAAAAAGAATACTGAAAAACCTATTTTTCACCGTGAGTGTGAGAGGCGTCAGAGCAGAGGTGGGACCAAGTCGTCATTTTGCAAGTCTCAAGTAAGTCTCAAGTCTTTGACCTCAAGTCCAAGTCAAGTCTCGAGTCACTGGTCCATAAGTCCAAGTCAAGTCCAAGTCGTCTGCTTTAAGCTTCAAGTAATTTCAAGTCTTTCAACCAAAGTACTAAATATAGCTTAGATTTTTTGCAATTTTTATAACTTTAAAGATAAATTATAAATGAGTATTTATAGAATATATAAGAGTAGTAGAAATATAAATTTTTCCTTTTCAAATATCTTGACAAGATCTTAGAGTGAATCATTACAGTCAGAATAGAAATAATTCAGATTTAAAAGTTCTTCTCAAGTCTTCTCAAGTCATAGGCCTCAAGTCCAATTCAAGTCCCAAGTCAATGACCTTCAAGTCCAAGTCAAGTCCCAAGTCTTAGTCCATTTTATCAAGTGAAGTCTCAAGTCCTAAAAATAGTGACTCAAGTCTGACTCGAGTCCAAGTCACGACTTGCAGGTCCCCATCTCTTGATCAGAGCACCTTTAAATAAGCTGAATATGGAAACTCAAATAAATGCATTACCAACTATGACAATCAGGAGGTAGAGCATTTCCTCTGTCAAACGATTGAGGTGAATCAGTTCATCCTGCAAACATAAAAACTTTATTATTATTCTGTATATCCTGTAAACTTCAACATCATTTGAAATATGTGAAATTACAAACCTGATCTCTTCCTGAATGACTCCCATTAAACAAATCAAACAGTTCAAATCTTAATAGTATGAGCATGAGGAAGTGATTAGGCTCCATTTTGGAAGCAGCGATCTGGAATAATAAAGTTATAGACCAATGAGTGATTACTACACCATAATCAACTCTTATGTATTACTTCGAAATGACTAACTTGCAACATGAGGATGTCCTTGTCGTACATCTCATCTCTGCATTTCACATCTTGATAGTAATAAACCTGAAATCATGTTATTGTTACTATATAGATCACCAAGTAGGACAATTAGTAAAAAAAAAATAAAACAATGATTAGACTTTTTTTTGTATCATTTTCAAAAAAATTCAGAAAATAAAATAGTTCAGATAATATAAGTATGTTAAACAAAGAGTAGGTTCATTTGTGCAAACACCATGTCAAAAATGGGATTTAACTGGGACCTGGACTAGACCTGTACTAGACCAGGACTAGAAAAGACCAAGCCTACATTCTTAACTAAACTATGCAAACCAGTACAAGTAAGAACGAATAAGTATTTAAATATTGTATTTGGAGCATGTACGTTGAATTGCATTTCAAGCTTGTAACAACATTTGGGATGGCTGACCAGTATATTATAGAAGCTAAATCCATGTATTACCTGGCTGACCAAGGACAGTCCATTTCTCCTCCACATTTCAGCAGAGACTTGGGCAGCTAACACCACACAGCGTAGGGGCAACTCCACCAGCTGAGCAAAGTCATAACTCTCCTACAGGGGGCACAAAAAACCATTACCACTGGCCCTAAACATTGATATACAAAAAAGTGCATAATACTCAAGGTGCACGATGTAACTTCACTAATGGAGGGTTCACAAACTACTGTTATACTTTTGCCTCCACAGTAAGGCATTAAACTTTTCTACCCCCCTGGAGCCAAGTAGGTGACACCACCAGGCCAAGTTACAAGTCAGATCTGTTGAGCGCTGACCTCTCTTGGTAAGAATGTGCTTTTAAATCTACCATCTGTACTTAGCCCGTCAAACCCACCCCTGTTGTATTCTCACGTATCATCACTAGTTGCTAACTAAGTTATATCTGTTTGAAAGTTCCGGTTTTGGCAGGCCAGGACATAAGAATACCAGTGTGTCTGAAAAAAGACCAGGTGAGGGTAATGCAAAACAGATGAATGCCATACTCTTGAAATGGCATCGCCTGGAAATTTCCGTCTCCATGTTAAATAGTGCATCATTTATATTATAAAATGTATTACCGTGACCATACTATAATCATACACATTTATTACTATACAGTAATACTCAATTTATAGTAAACATAGCTCATTAGCATCTGTAATGACTCGAACATTTTCTGATCTATGTTATAATGTTGTTAACTTATCAAAAACAAACCTGGAGTTGTGTTTTGTTTCATTCACACGTTTAACACATAAACCTTTCATAGGTTTGAGTTCTTCTCTCCAACGGAAAACACTCTATTCCACCTTGTGATGTCATGCAGAAATACAGGAAGTGCTCCACTGTGTTTTTAAACTCTCCATTTCCAGAACTTTCAGCTCTGGAATTGCCAATCTCTACTGAACTAAAGGTAAACGGTAGCTGTTAACTTGAAAAAATATCTCTTGATGACATCACAAGGTAGAACAGAGGATTTTGAGGTTTGGAGATGTAGACAGATTAATAATAAAGGATTACTCAAACATGTGTTAATGAAACAAACCACAAATGCAGGTATGTTCAATTTTGTGTAATATAGGACCTTTTGTTTGGCGATCACAGTTTAGCTAAATGTTTCCCACCAGTGCATGCAAATTATAGTATACAATAAATATTAAGTGCCGCCTTTCAAAAAAAACAACTATCTATATCTACACTGAACAATGCAATATTATATAGTAATTATGGTGACAGTACTTAATGTGACTTACAGGGTTTTGCAGTCGCTCAATTGCACCAGTTCTACACATAAGTACATAAAGACCTGCAAACATAAAAAATGCATTAAATTAACAAAATAATCATTAATAAATTCACATGTGAGCTTTAACGGTGCTTTCCCTACCAGCTAACAGCCTGGAAATGGGGAGGTGAATGCTGACTGGCTCCTGAGACACTTTGTAGGGGCGCACGTGGAGAATGTGTTTACACATGTAGTAATCTGAGGCCTCCCGACGAAACGGCTGATTAGTGCACTGCATCAGGGCTCTGTGGCACTCTTTAAAGGTGAGCAGCAAGATCTCCTCCTGGAAAAGTGGGTATAAGCAAATGTTAAGACAGGGAGGCAAGCACGACTGTTTTCAATAGCAGTAAATCAAACCGACGTCAGAGGAGCACCAGTCCTGAAACATGGTCAGAATGTGGCGCAGCTGGATCTGGAGAGAAAAGCCGGCCTCCCATTCAGGCTCCACGGCGATGTGCTGCCCGAACTGTCGCTTCACCTCCTCCATTCCCTTAGAAGAAAAGTAAACACAGATACTTAGGTGGAGGATTTCAGAACTGTGGAGATTAAAGGGGAAACTAAACTCAACTTTTTTCTGCTAAACTGTGTATATGGTGTAATAATAGTATTGTGTACTGTCCCAAGCCCTTTTTTTTTTGGCAATTTTAGTGCAAACAAGGTTTTTGCAGCTTTCAAAAAGTGTGAGCTGCCTCTATTGGTCACTGCAATTTGAAGTACTATCACACAGGACTGCCCTGACTTACAGTCAGG